GGGGGAGGGGTTCAAAAGTCCTAAAATTCGTGTGACGTACTTTATGGATGGCCCCTTGGTGCTAAATCCCGAAAGCTCTTCTAGTACATTTTTACCATCGTAAAAATATTTAACCTTTATTTTGATACTAAACATTGATTGAGATCTAAAAGAAGAACTATATACAAAAAATACATGACTTTTATAATTTAGTTTCATGGACTAAAACATAAAAATGTATAGCTGATAATTATAAATAAAGGTAATTTACCACTCTGAAACGTCACTAAGGTATAACATGTCCATAAAATAAAATAAAAACTATGCTTGGATTCAATATTATGATATTGCGTGTCATGAACGAAAGTTGTGCAACAGTTGGCAACCTTGTGAAGGACGCACGTGCACAGGAAAATGCTCAACGCACATCGAGCTTTCGTGTCCAACCTGCCTTGACGTAATACACACACTGGAAAATGAAATACGCCACGGTGTTAATTCCAGGATTAAGTTTATCTATACTAATATTATAAAGCTGAAGAGTTTGTTTATTTGAACGTGCTAATCTCAGGAAGTACTGGTCCGATTTGAAAAATTCTTTCAGTGTCAGATAGCTCATTTATTGAGGAAGGCTATAAGCTATTTATAACATCACGCTAAGACCAATACGAGTGGAGCACTAATAACCTCCTCTTTTGAAGTCGGCTAAAAAGCATGATTTTGGTACCTTAAATAGCTCCTTAACATTCTATTATTCAAAAATACACTTACTTCTACGTAAATGAAGTCGCGGGTGAAATTTAGCGTTATACCAAAGTAACTATTCCACGCGGACGAAGTCGCAGGCAAAAGCTATATTTATGATATTTATTATCGATGAATTTATGACTAGAAATTGTATGTTGTTAAAATAAATTAACTTCACAGAATATATAGATATTCTACAGCTTCTTTTTGGTGTTGCTTCATTTTCTGGTAATGTTCCTATTGATGTTTTCTGTAATTGTTAAAACGCAGCAAAAAAAAAAAAGACAAGAACGAAAAAAACACTACTTTGTTTCTAAATACATACCTATAATGTTTTGCAAAGCTAACTTGGTGATTAAATACAATGAATTCAGAAAGTAAAAGTATTTACTCCACAACTAAACATGACAATTGTCAAAAATTTTTCAATAGTATGTAACTTATATTACTATTCGAACACGGCAACTTTGTATGCACGAAGAATGACAGCCGCTTGACTAGCAATTTGGAGCACGAGACAGTTTTCGTCTAGATGACGTCCTTCACCTGTGCTGCAAACTTCATTGTGATGCAAATTGAACCGCCCAAATGACACATGGACGGGTTTATGCATTCATCATGGATGCCCGTTAAGGAGCTAATATTGCACGGGTCTATACTATACTTGCTGATTGTTCTCAAACTAGTATCAAATAAACTACGTTATTACTTATTTGCTGGCACATTTCACTGGTGGTAGGACCTCTTGTGAGTTCGCACGGGTAGGTACCACCACTCCGCCTATTTCTGCCGTGAAGCAGTAATGTGTTTCGGTTTGAAGGGTGGGGCAGCCGTCTTAACTATACTGAGACCTTAGAACTTATATCTCAAGGTGGGTGGCGCATTTACGTCGTAGATGTCTATGGGCTCCAGTAACCACTTAACACCAGGTGGGCTGTGAGCTCGCCACCCATCTAAGCAATAAAAAAAAAAGACGGGAGAAAGAGCTCGCGGCCAACCTTAGTTACTCATCGAACCTCATATACATTGAGATAGACACACATCAATGCCATATTCAACTTAAACCATTAGGTCTAAATCTTAATTATACATAATGCCAATTAGTGACTCTTGGACCCTTGAAGCCGAAACGTATTGCTGATTCCCGGCAGAAATAGACAGGGCAGTAATTAAGAAAATGATTTTTTCTTAATCGTTTTAATTATCCCAAGCCAAATATTAGTTATACAACACAATTGCAATTTGTAAAGTATTTTGTGTGGACTTATTTGTTTTCAAAATAAAATGTTGTTCTAATGAATTTTGTCGTTTGGGAAATTAATTCGAAATAATATCGTTTACTTGTAATACACTAACTATGTAATCTATGGACTAGGTAATAACGTTACCTTGAACAACATAATAACAATGTTTCGCAATCGTATGTGTAACTCGTATGACCAGGGAGCATGATCCAAATGTCGCGACGGCCGTCCACGAATCTCTACATTTACAAACTAGATCACAATAGTGATCTAGTTAATAAACTATTTCATTACTTTATGTCACACGTAAGTTATTTTGTACTGATATCGAAATACGAACGGTTTTAACGAACATTCGTTTTAGTAACTATTGGATTTTAATGTGTATACAGAACGACCTCGTGAAAGTTTTATTGGATTACACGAATTCTATATTTAAATTAATAGATTTTTTGAGGTTTCGATGGGCAGACGAGGTGACAGCGTGATGTCAAATTTTAGAGATAAAAAGTTCTACACCAACTTACCCTTACCAGTCACAGTTACGTTGCGTTGCGAATAAGGACCATTTTGAGGTGACCGCTCTTCATATTGGCATACATTACAGAATATGACTGCTTTTGCGGGAGAAATAGGCATGATATACATAATAATATGTATTGTGTGAATGGTCTAACGAACTATTAATCTATATATATAAAAATGAATTGCTGTTCGTTAGTCTCGCTAAAACTCGAGAACGGCTCGTCCGATTTGGCTAATTTTGGTCTTGAATTATTTGTCGAAGTCCAGAGAAGGTTTAAAAGGTAGATAAATATGAAAATTCTCGGAATTAAATAAAGTTTAGGTCTTTTATTTATCGATTGAGGCACTACGAAGTCTGCCGGGTCAGCTAGTTTTATATAAATGTGTTAATTGGTACATTTTGTTTTATTGGATGGACGCGCTCACGACTCATCTGGTTCCAAGTGGTCACGGAGCCCATCAACATCAATCACGCTAAAGCCGCTACCCATCTTGAGACACGAGTTATAAGTCTCAATCTTATAGTATAACTGCCACACCATCCTTCAAACTGAAATGCATTATTACTTCATGACAGAAATAGGCAGGGCGGTGGTATCTACCTGTGCGAGCTTATAATACGACCAGTAATTACGCAAATTGCGAAATTTGCAGGTTTTATTTTTATTATACGATATGATTCCTTCAAAGAGGAAGTCATTCGTAAATATATGTTAAGTAGGTACGTATTTCATTAGAGAATTTGGTACCTGCTTGTGGGATTCAAACATTGACACATCGCATTGCTCGATACGAATTTACCGGGCGCCCTAACCGTAGACCACGCGCAGCGACTTCAATACATACATATTTATCGATTTCTCCGCAATATCCTTGTTCTAATGATCTAAATAAGAATAAGGAGACGAAGTTTTTTTTTTTATTGCTTACATGTGTGGACGAGCTCACAGCCCACCTGGTGTTAAGTGGTTATTGGAGCCCATAGACATCTACAACGTAAATGCGCCACACACCTTGAGATATAGTTCTAAGGTCTCAGTATAGTCACAACGGCTGTCCCACCCTTTAAACCGAAACGCATTACTGCTTCACGGCAGAAATAGGCGGGGCGGTGGTACCTACCCGTGCGGACTCACAAGAGGTCCTACCACCAGTAATTACGCAAATTATAATTTTGCGGGTTTGACTTTGATTGCACGACGTTATTCCTTCAGCGTGGAAGTCAGTTAGGGATTAACAAGGATGTAGAATTATTTGTAATAGAATGCGGCGATTGACATCGTTTATGAATTTATTGTGAATAAAAACCACCTAGACTATCGGGTTTTAGTTATGTATATTTTTAATAGTAATTTAATGTTACACTTTTAAATTTGAACTAAGAAAAATAATAATAACACGACTAGGCTTAACAAATAGCATGCTTTGCGGTAGAAAATGTGCAAGATGGCGGGATACGTAAAGGGACAGATTATATACGTTTTGTACACGCGCAGATTTTTTTTGTTTTGACGAGAAAGTCATTCTTGAACATGTAGTGTGCCTCTTTTTCAGGATCCGATTGCCGTATCTTTTTTATTCATTTTTAGGCACCAATAATTTACCGTAAATAGTATTTACTCTTTTATTAGATTTTAATAGCGTAGGCACGTGGACTGAAACATTCAAAATCCACTTATAGAGCCCTCTGTAACGTTAATAATGTTGACCACACGATAAGTTTTTTTTTTTTAATTCACTTTATGGGCAGACGAGCGTACGGTCCTATTGGTAACGAGGTACCATTGCTCACGGACGTCAGCAATACCAGTGGCATAGCCAAGCCATTGCCCCTTGAAATATATATTTTGCATTTGTATATTATTATACATTTATGAATTATTAGGCTATTTATAAATACAGAATGCATAATAGTTCAGCGACAGAAAGAAGCAGAGCTATGACAGTACTCAGTTGTGCGACTTCACAATGAGCTTAACAACAGCTCAAATCGTTTAAAGAAAATAATTAAAAAGCTTATGATTATTCTAGACAGCGGCTTGGCTCTCCCCTGGTGTTGCTGGTGTCCATGAGCGACGGTAACCACTCGGACTGTAAGCTCGGACGGACCGTAAGATCGTCTGCCTACAAGGGCAATAAAAAAACACATGCAAAAATCAATATTACCAATATGGGGTATTTTAATGCTTACGCAAAACTTGTTTCAGCATTTGTCATATGAGTTCTTTCAGTAATATCGAACCGTGAAGATCGTCTAATATACCATCTGAAAACAAGTCGTTTTGTGTATTGAGCGAAAAATTGGTGTGACCGCGATGTTTCATAGGCCAGGTATGTTGCACAAGTAGCTGCTTTGTTTACGTGGTATTGTCCGCTCGTCCCATCGGCCGGACTCGTGTACGTGCGTACTTGAATATATTTAAATTTGGAGATGCGACCAGGATGAGGCAAGCGTAGCACGCCAGCTATATATACCGATAGTAGCCAACAAGGGGTACAGTTCATCGCTTCAAGCACCCCCGAACACAGCTCAACAACCACAGCAATGGCCCTCAAGGTACAACAGAATTTGGATTGATGTGAAGTGAAATGTGAATAGTGGAAATTAATTTTAATTGTGTTAAATTATAGTACATCATAATAGTGTAAAAAATCTAAACACAGCTTGATGCTGACCAAAAGAAGTACATTATTAAGAAAATTACTACAAAGTTTCACATGATAAATTTTTCAACTGTAATTTTTCCTCATGTGTAATTTCGTGTTTTCTTTTACAGTTGGTAACCTTTTCTTGCCTTTTGGCTGCCGCTTATGGGAGCGTTGTTCCCGCCGCCTATGCAGCTGCGCCTCTGGTAGCAGCAGCTCCTGCAGTAGCGGCAAGAATCGAAGAATTCGATCCTCTTCCTCAATACAGATTTGGCTATGATGTAGCGGACTCTTTAACCGGTGATTACAAAAGTCAACAAGAAGAACGCAATGGAGATTTGGTTCAAGGATCTTACTCTTTGGTTGAACCCGACGGCACACGTCGTGTCGTGGACTACGCCGCTGACTCCATTAATGGCTTCAATGCCGTAGTACGTAAAGAGCCACTCGTGGCGGCTGCGCCTGCAGTTGTTGCAGAGCCCGCAGTAGTACCCGCTCGTTATGCAGCAGCTCCAGTGGCTGCTGCTCCTGTAGCCGCTGCTCCTATAGCCGCTGCCCCTGTTGCAGCACCGTACTACGCCGCTCGCTACGCAGTTGCTCCTGCATATTCGGCACCCTATGTTACTGCAGCCAGATATGAAGCCGCTCCCTTCGTAGCACGGTACGCTGCTGCTCCAGTAGCTGCTGCACCGGTCGCTGCTGCACCGGCTCCTATCTACGCTCGTTATGCGACCGCACCAGTAGCTCCCGCACCTGTTGTTGCTGCGCGCTACGCAGCTCCTTCCGTAGTTGCAGCACGCTATGCTGCAGCTGGCCCATATGCTGCCTACACAGCTCCATTTTCTGCAGCCTACACAGCTCCATTTTCTGCGGCCTACACCTCATATGCCTCTCCAGTAGCTGCAGCATACACCACCTACACCGCAACGGGACCCGTGTCAGCAGCTCCAGTTGCTGCCGCGTACGCTGCTCCTATCGCTGCGACAGCGGTACCAGCTGTGGCCTCCACCGTTCGTGCAGCTCCCGCTAAGCTCATTGAAACTACAGCTGCTGGATACCGTTACCCCTAAACAAGATAAAATTCCCAACGACTCCTCAATTTACTCCTAAAGACTTGATTTGTAAATAGTTATGATTATTTTTGTTTATTTTTTAATACTGAATGAAATAAAAGCATTAAAATAACATTCATTTTTTAATTTCTCTTTTAATATTTAAGACATCTGTAAAAACTACGGAAACACGCGTGAATAATCTAAAATTTAAATGACAAAATCATTTATGGTTCTAATAATCCTAGTCAAAATATTAGATAAGATTTTAAGTTTGAATACAAAAATTATGCAGGCTGCGCAGAAGCAGTCACTATGGCGAACCTTGAGGGAGGCTTAAGTCCAGCAGTGGACGTCTGTGGGTTGATGGTGATGATGATGAGTAAAATTATTGTATATATCCGATGATAGTGGGCTCTTAAGACTAGTCCAAATTTTCAAATTAATCGGACTTCTTGAAGTTACTAGAAATTTCGTTCAAAGATTCGATTACTTAAAAATAGACAGATATACAGGTAAAGCTAATAAAAAAGATTTTAAATTGGGCAAAGTCTCAGTCAGTGCAGTAATATTCGAGTTTCTTTAAAGGAAGACATTCAAGGAAAGAAAAACAAATTCGTGATTAAGTCAAGGCACACTGAAACTTAATTTGTATCAATTTTAGTTATATTTTAAAAAAAATTGTTATAATAATTAGATGGTAAGTTATTAGACGGGTAAATCATAAAATTTCCGCTTACTAGGAGGAGTTCAAATTAAAATTGAACCTTTTTTTTATGGCTTAGACGGGTGGACGAGCTCACAGCCCACCTGGTGTTAAGTGGTTACTGGAGCCTATAGACATCTACAACGTAAATGCGCCACCCACTTTGAGATATAAGTTCTAAGGTCTCAGTATTTTAGTTACAACGGCTACCCCACTCTTCAAACCGAAACGCATTACTGCTTCACGGCAGTAATAGGCAGGGCGGTGGTACCTACCCGTGCAGACTCACAAGAGGTCCTACCACCAGTAGTTACGCAAATTATAATTTTGCGGGTTTGATTTTTATTACACGATGTTATTCCATCACCGTGGAGGTCAATCGTGAACATTTGTTAAATACGTATTTCATTAGAAAAATTGGTACTCACCTGCGGGATTCGAACACCGATGCACCTCTAAAGACTTGTTATTTGTAAGCACAAAAATTTAAATTTCAAAATTTTTTTACTTATCGACGTTTTGATTTGTATTTCAAAGACCATTCGCAAAATTAAACGCTGCTATTTTTTCTGGAAATTTAATATAACATGAAAAAATAAACAGAAAAAGAGACACTGTGATTTGCAGCAAAGACAGTTTGCAAATACATATTAACGCTCCGTAAAAGAAATGGCGGAAGCAGAAAGCTTTTAAGCCACAGCTATGACGTTAGCTTAACCAAACCCCAGACATATTACTCCAATTAGTTAAAAAATATGATTAATCGTGGGAAGCCTGGCAGATGAAACATTGATATTATTTTGTCCAGGTTTACGACAGAAAATCCATGTGGCATAATGAAAATAAAATATTATTATTAAGAAACGATCATACTACTACATAAGCACTCTATACTACCATATAGAACGGCAACGCGTCGCCACGGAACGCTATGAATCGGTTTTACGTGTGGCTACAGATGTTTCACATAAAAACCACGCCCTAAACACGTCATTACGGATCCTCCCGATCCATTAAAGGTGCTTTTAGGTACCTCAAGCACCGGTCACGGTCCTCGTCGAACCCGTCGCTTGCGACGAAGGGCTCAACGAGTAAATTAACCCATAGACACAGCCAACTGAGTTTCTCGCCGGATCATTTCAGCGGCTCGCGGTCATTTCTGTGAAGCACTGCTCTTTCTAGGAGCAGTGTTAACAACACTTCCGATTTGAGCCCCGAGACCTTACCTTCACGCTAGGGTGAAGCTGTAATAGCCTCTCAAGGCTATCAGCATAATAAAAAATACCAAAACGGGTTTTGGTATTTTAGTACATTAGTAGATCTGCTTTATGGTCATATGGGGAAATTTATCAGCGACGTAAGGTTATTTAGCTTCGACTCAGTGAACAGTTAAATCAAGCCGTGCCGCAGCTTATGGGATAAAACGCCTAGTGTAGGTACTTGGAACAAACGATGCGACTGTGAGGATGTTTATATATCAATCGCAGGTACCAATTAGCTCAGGCTATACGTACTAAGTACGAATTATTTATACGAAGTATTTAAACGATTTTATGATAAAGTAAAATTGAAAACCATACTCCCAATATTTGTAATATTACTGACAGGAACGCGTATTGTAGCCCGCTCAGGTAAGTACCACTATCCTGCTTATTTATTCATTCCTTCTGGATTGAATGTTACATTAGCCTATCCTGAAATGTCTATGGATTCCAGTTAAAAGTTAATTCTAGATGGATGGTATGGCATGCCTACGGTCGCCTGAACTATTTTTTTAAAAATGTATTTTGATATTAATTGCGTTGGCATATTTCGTTTACATTTTAATATTTCCAAAAAAAGACTCATAATTGTTTTTCTATTAATATTTACCTATATATTAAGTTATTTCCGCAGTGTATTTATTTTGATACGGAAAACAGCAGTAAATTACTCCAAAGTGGGCACCGCTTTTTAAATATGTTGTAATTTCATAATAATAGGATTTTATTCTTACAATATTTTCATTTTACCAAAAATTTAATTTTAGAGCTTTCTTTATAAGAAAATTATTTGAACTGGACTGTTCAGCTATTTTATTTTTTAAAGTATTCTCTACGAAGAGGAAAACTATGCTCCAAGAAGTCGTCACCTCGCGTTCGAATACTTTTCTAACGCGGAGCGCTGTTTAACAATACGTCTAGCATCACGATTCTCGGAAGTATACAAGGATTCCTAAAATTACAATTCCGATGATTAGTTATAAATACTTATCTGATATAATTCAATTTCAGATTAAAATTGGATAGATATTATGTATATCTCATAGGTACTGACGAAATATTTAAAACAGCGTCAGCAGTAGAGAGCGTTACCACCGGCTGGAAAGAACAAAATGGTCTTATTTGTTTGGATCATTGTGAACTATGGCTTCAGTCTATTGGCGGTTATAAATACTTATCTGATATAATTCAATTTCAAATTAAAATTGGATAGATATTATGTATATCTCATAGGTACTGACGAAATATTTAAAACAGCGTCAGCAGTAGAGAGCGTTACCACCGGCTGGAAAGAACAAAATGGTCTTATTTGTTTGGATCATTGTGAACTATGGCTTCAGTCTATTGGCGGCAAAGTCTACTTATTAAATCTTTGATTATAAATTTTATTTTATTTCTCGTTTTTATTAACTGACCTTCAATTGCTGTTAGGAAGCCTTTTTAGGGGAAAAAATTGCCTGTGGTGAATTATCTTTTTTTTTTTTTTTTTTATTGCTTTCGATAGGCAGTCGAGCTTACGGCTCATCTGATGGGAAATGATAACCGTCGCCCATAGACATCCAAACTACATCAGTGACTCAGATGCGCTGCCTATCCTGGCCTGGATGGGCAGCCTTATGTATGTTACACCGGCTATCCTGTCCTTCAGACCGGAACACAGTATTACTGTTTTGCGGCAGAAATAGACAGGATGGTGGTACCAACCTGGGCGGGCTTCTACACAGAACCCTACCACCAGTAAAATTGGACGACTTGATCTTGTTCTAATCGAAATAGGTATTTTCAATGTAATTTTTTTATTTATCTAGTTTTCTATTGTATTTGATAGGTAATATTTATATCTTTACCGTAAAATTTGCTATTTATTTGAGTGTAACGTCCTCTTTATGTCTATAAATCCTCGAAGTCATTGTTATGTATGACATATTCATATAGGAAGACTATGGCTAATTCAATTAATTAAAAAGTTTTAAGTATTCATGTATAAGGTACGGTGTCTAATATTTTTTGATAGTTTGTGTATACGTATTGTAGATTTTGGTGTTTTTTGTTTGGCTGCTCTTTGCCAGTAGTTGTTGGTAGTATTGTTGTTGTTGTTTAAGGTTGTCCTTAGATTAAAGTATAAATCGCTTATGTTAAGTATGAAGACATAGCTTGCGGGTTTACAAATATAAGCTGCTTGAATATACAGATGTATGTATAGTGAGTAAATTGCTGGTTGAGTGTATGATATGTTCTTGTGTGTTCGATGAGGTATTTTATGTATTTCATCCGCTTCATGGCCTTTCCAATTTTATTGTTTTACTTAAAGTCTGGGATATAATATATTCTTTGTTGAAATTTATTGCGGGTATAGGTTGTATGTTTGTTTCTTCTTTTTTTGTATCCACGTTCTATTTGAGTTATATAGTATAGATTTTTACATATTATGTTTTTCTGGGTAGTGTTGGAAAGCCATTATTTCGCCGCATTGCTTGATTTAATGAGCTTTAGACTACTTTATTAATATATTTTACTTCGTTGTTGACTCACTTTATTATTTACTTGCTACATATTTTCCTAATTTTTATGTTATATAAATAAATTAGGATTAAAAGCCGTAACGTGTTGTCGTACATACTTCATCAAATATCTGCTGAGAACCGTAACACGGTAGTAAAAATGATAATCGAAAGAATCTCATTACAATCTCAATCCGAAGAAAATCATTCATGTTTTGTATTTATAAGAAAAAAGTATGTATTTTTATGATTTATTACATACATATACATAATGTATGTATGAATGTACTACAACAAAACATTTCGTTATGTGCCTAATTCAGCGATCTCTCATGAGAAGTGTGATTCCAATCATAGATAATACGCTTAATATTTCAGATTCCAATTGGCCACGCATCTGTCTTAACTTCTTATAGGCTATTTGACCAACAGTTAATTTTTGATCGATATTCGCTTTCCTTTTTTAGGGGAAAAATTCACAATTCCCAGCTTAAATAGTTACCTACTTTAGAACTAATTCGACGTCTGTTATTCCTGATGACTCAGACCTACGCAGCCGTCTAGTGTGTGTCGTCGAAGAAAGCACTAATTTGACTTGTGAAACGTAACATGTAGCGCAAGAGTCATCGCGTAATTCGTAGCACTTTCTTCAATGAGCCATGCGGTATTGGTATCACGTCCCGAGTTACGTAGTGAACGATATATAACGCGAGCGCGCCCCAGGATATGCACATTCCACATCGAGGACCGTGAAGATCCAAACTCAAACGAACAGCCATGGACTCCAAGGTGAGACGAACTAATTAGTTAATAATTTAATTTCAGTGAGATTCGTTAGCAATTAATAGTATCGTGGTGCGCGCAATGGAACACAATTGGAGATCAGTTGGCCTGTATAGCTCGGTTACAATATCTCTGGACCTCGCTGGAATGTGAAGCCCCGTTTCCCTTTCGCCAGGTCCAAAGATAATGTAACCGGGTTATAGTCGCGGTGTTATATGGGAGGAGGTCGTGCCCTGACTTCCAACAACACCCTTTGCTTTCGATTTCAGATTCACGAAATATGATACGATAATTATTCTTTTCTATTTTCTACGTTACGGTCTACTTCAGTAACAGGTAAATTTGAAGCTTGGTTTTAGATATTTACATAGATATATGTTGATAGTGTATCCCGCTAATAATTAATTCCTAAAATATATATCGTTAGCATGGCCAAGTTGGTAACTCCTATAACGAACAGCAAATAACTCGTGTATGATGTTAGGTATATATAGTAATACTCGTTATCTACGTGCTATTATTCAGCATAACCTTCATTTCAGAAAACAGTCTATACTTGTTGCAAAAGCATTTCTTTGTACCTATACCTACACGTAAGAGACAATTACTTTCGAGCAACTTAAATTTTACTGTCTCGTAACTGAAAATTGAGTAATTAATATATGAATAATAAACGTTTCTTTGAAACAACGTTCGAGCCGTTGAAATTCAAAACGAGTCTCCGGCTGCAACGTTAACTGGTGCAGCCGTACAGTTCACCTGCAATCACGTGTTAATATTCACAGCGCATCAATATCAGCGCGAAAGGGTCACTAGAAACATGTCACAATACGTGGATTTGTGTTCACAAATGGCGCATACCAATGCCTTTGGACTATATAATATCTCATGCTTGCGTAACGTGTTCGTTGTTATGAAATTGATTGATTGATAATCGGATTGCATAACAAAGAGTTTGAGGGAGTTCATATAGAGTCCCTTCTTTATTTCGCCGTAAAGTCGTGTTTTATGTAATTAACACCACAGTTGAAACAATATAAATTTTATTGTTGTAGCGGTATAAACAATTCTAAGTAATTATATTACATTATTTATTAAACACATTATAAATTATTATATGTTTTAAATTTTCGGCGGTAAAAAGGTCTCGTGTCACAGACTATATTCCTTTTCATTCTCGTGCGTTCCGGCTTACGCATCATAAAAATGTGCGTTCTTAAACGCCTCAAGTTTAATCATATGCGTCAGCTACGTCAAACGAGACGACGAAAACCTTTTTATGTTTTTTTTTTCTCAGTGAAATGACTTTCTCGTTTTGTTTCAGATTGTAGTATTCATCTGTTTAGTAGGCGTGGCAAGTGCAAGTGTTATCGCACCTGTACCTGTCGCCCGTGTAGATCCCCTCCCGCAGTACTCCTACGGATATGACGTTCAGGATACTCTCACTGGAGATTTCAAAGGACATCAAGAAAACAGGAATGGCGATCTCGTGACTGGATCTTATTCGGTTGTCGACCCTGATGGCACTAGGAGGATCGTGGATTATACAGCTGACCCCTTAAATGGATTCAACGCGGTAGTCCGCCGCGAGCCCTTGGTGGTAGCCGCTCCTGCTAGAGTGGTCGCTCCCGCTCCAATCGTGGCCCCTGCCCCTGTGGTGGCCCCGGCGCGCGTGTTCGCGTCAGCTCCCATTGTGGCACCGGGTCCTTACTACGCGCGTGCACCTTTTGCACCTGCACCACTCCTAGCCCCTAGACTACCAGCGCCTGTGTATTTCTAGATGAATTTTACAATTTTGTTGTTGCTGTTTGTACATAATATTTTTAAACTCTTTTTATGATTGTTATTTAAATACTATTAAATTTTTAAATTTGACTGTTGTATTCTTACAATTCATTAGAAACCTTAAGGGTCCAGTATTCATGATTTCATAAATGTGATATTTACCTACACTAAGTCTAGATCTCGTCACGGAGAAAGCATGAAGTCGTGAAAGCTATATTCGATGTGTTTGCGTTGACCTTAAAGTACATTTATTAACCTCATAGTAGTTACGGGACTGTATCTAGTAATATAATTGTAACTCTAAAAACTCTGGTAACATAATTGGGAAGTCTAGCACGTTAACTGCGTTATACGACTTAAAAAGCCCCACACGCCACTATTCTCTGATGCTGCAATCAAAACTTTTCGCTTAGTGCGTAAGGCAACAAGTCCACATTTCTATAGGTATGGGTATATATTCAAAAACGGTATTTTGTGAGGCCTATCAGGTCTCATATCGTAAACAAGTCCGAACCTGCCTCGGACAGACCTCACACGCACTGTCTAAAAATCCCTCAAACAGTCCCGCAGTCAAAGCGCTAGTCAACAAGAGCATTTACTAAAAAAAAATATGTTAAAATATTATTTGATAACACAAATATCCATTAACCAAATTGATTGAGAAAAATATTTAAAGATGACACGCTAATATTTCACTGGTAGTAGAGATGTATGAAGCTCGCGAATGTAACAGTCGTGGATTTCAGTTCCAAGAAGTAAAAAAAATTGTACGAATTTTGATGCTTCGATGTCATGTACCTACCCCATCGGATAGGATTAAGTTTGTGGTCTGATTTATCTACCCACTTCATAAGTAACATTAGACAAAAGTAAAAAAATAATTTAAAAAATATAACTAAAGCAAACATTTACATGAAGTACTTACAAAAATTTTGTAATAAAACGAAACACGAAATTTCAACAGAAGACATTGATAATTGTACCACATTAGAAAAACATTATGTTTACAAACCAGATGGTATGACAATAAATTAAATTTACTTCAATTAACTTCATAACAACATTGTAGGTTTAAATAATAAGAAGATCGTAGTAATTTCTGTGCTATTTGTAAGCGATAGTAAGTACGAATATTTCGTCCCAAATAGCCTTGCATCTATTACGAGTAGTTTCTTCAATTAAAAGCGAAAGTGTAATTGTTCCTAAACGCTAAGTATGATTTCCGAACTGAAACGTGTGACGTCATATTAAACCGAATGTTACGAAAGGACGCTCCGTGAATATAAAACAAAAGCAACCATAAATAAACAGTTACAACTCACAAAATGGCTTTTAAGATTCATTAATCAATTGGATGATGTGCTACTAAGTTTATTTTTTATTTTATTTATTAATTTCATTTACTTCAGATTTTGCATCCATATTACATTCATTAACATTTCATATAGTATACCAGAATTAAATAATAACAATAACTACAATCTCGGAATAGAACAAAAGCAATAATAGTAATATAACAAAAAATCAAATAATAATAATAAAACAAACACTCAAAATTAACGTCAAAATTACCTTAACGTAACGACTGGTTTGGATCCTTTAATTTGTCTGACTCGATGGTACAGTAATCAGCGTCCCAGACTGTGGCGGCGAGAGTCGTGGTTTCGATTCCCACATTGAGTAAGCATTGTGCGATGAACAGGTTTGTTTGCTCTTTGTTTGGGTGTTTATATTTAATCATATGTTTATCAGTCTCTGGTACTGATAACACGGGGATGCTAAATGACCGTGCATGTTTTCCCAAGTTATTTATAGCTAGCGACCCACCCTCGCTTCGCTTCGGAAACATTAAATTTTATTATTAATATGTAGCTGAATCTCGTGACGTTACCCGCGGTTATTGTCGCACTGCAAGTGACGCCGCGGGGTGAAGCTAGTCTAAAAATCCTTATATCATCAGCTACCTATCAGTGAAAGTCTCGTCAAAATCGGTCCAGCCGTTTCAGAGATTAGCCGGAACAGACAGACAGACAGACAAAAATTGTAAAAAATGTTATTTTGGTGTATGTACCGTATATATGCATGTAGTAAAAAGCGGTTATTTCAATATTACAAAGAGACACTCCAATTTTATTTATACGCATAAATTGTATATAAAATCAATGTTGGTTTGTTACAGTTATAATACGCTCTTAAGAGTGTTTTTATTTGAGCTCTGAGAGTGTGTAAGAGTGTTTTTATTTGAGTGTAGCTTCCGACGTCACAGCTCCAGTGAAATATGCCGTCGTACGTTTGGTGCGCTCCGCTCCTGTAGTCCATTAGGCCTCACGTGTACATACCTATTTTAAAGTATTCTACTCCTAAAGAGGTTTACTATGTAACGAGCAGGGGATAAAATTTAAGTACAACACTCATGCTATACTGTAAATATATATAGTTTTTGTATTTTAATAACATAAAAATATAACATTGTCCAATAAAGTGGCAAAACTAAATGTCAAAGATTTGAAAACCGCGAGTGTCGGATTGCGGAGGCGGTGGCAAAGCTTGTTCCGGTCCAGGGATAACAGATAGGCCGCGCTGCCGTCGTCGCTTTCGTTCAGATTTTGCTTCTCCGGCATCTTGCTTGCGCGGTAACACAGAGAACCTTCGTCCAGCTGGTACTGTAGACATGCGTTTGAATAATACTTGTGTTTCGATCTTTTGCTCCTCGTCCATCACACCAACAATTTGCCGTTCTCTTTGAACTATTGCTTTACGTTCATCAGCGGACACAGCTTCGGCTGCCATTTCAGCACATTTCCCCAAAAAGGCCTGAACTCGTTCTGGATCCTGCATCTTTTTAGACCATTCATATGCTTCTTCTACTTGTATTCGCACCTCATTTGCATTGCCTTGTTGCATATCACCGCTCATTAGCACAAAACATCCATTCAGCCACCATGTAACGTTGGCTAATTCTTGAGCTTCTCGCTGACAACGTTTCGCATAAAATTTCGCTAAAGCATAATTTTTTTGTAAGCAAAGCAGTCTAGCTAGTTCGTACATTAACCAGCATTTCATTGTAGAGTTTTCACACATTTCGAGCGTTAATACTACTTTTTCAGTTGCTTGTTTGATATCTATAAATTTGTAAGGATAATTTGCCATCACAGAGTCGAACGACTGCGGTCGACCTACCGGCAAGCCCATGAGGAATGCGATTCTACGTTTATTGCCTCTGTCACTTAGTGTGTAAGACAGTCGATGTTGAGACAAATAAGCTTCTCCTACGGCTCTATATAGTCGATCAGTATATAAATCCTTGTCAGGTAAAGTTCGTGGAGTTTTGTTATCTAAGAAAAGTTGCATTCGTTCAGCTTGCGCTATTACTTCCATCACTCGATTAGCACGTAAGCTTTTATCTATTGATTTCAAAAGTCTTTCAGCGGTATGTGCGCCGATTTCTCTTTCTTTAACTAGTACAGCTTCTCGGTATTGATTTTGGTGTTTTGATTCGGCCTTTTCAGCTAGTTTAATAGAATAGTAAGGTTTTTGAGAACGTAGCATGTCTTGTCGTTCGCTAAGAGAACGTAAAGCTTCTTTGACTAAAGCCTTCAGTTCTGTGCTACCGACAGAATTAGCTGAGTTAATACGGGGATCCTCAGTAAGTTCTTGGAGGAAAAACTTATCATAAGCCATCGGTCCCAAGTATTTCATAGCCAACACGCGCGCTAAAGTCAAATGTTTTCGTGCTTCCATTTGCGTAAGTTTACGTTTTCGTTCAGGCTTTGGAATTCTTGAAATATGTATTGGCTTTAGAGGTTCATCATCGTCAGGACGAAGAGCTTCATTTTGTTTAATAAGTGGCAAAAAATCTACCATAACTGAACCAGCATTAACCCCTATGCAGTCTTGTATAGTTTCCACTCCCTGATTAATACCTTCCATAAAGTAAGGAGGCTGTTTTCGGATTCTGGCTCCTCGAAAATTCATAACGACTGATCTTTCGAAATCAGACATTGTATACATTGCTCTGGACTGCATGTTACGGGCATTCATATTCTCTGGTTCAAGTTTTAGTGCAAGTTCTGCATCAGAATACGCTTGTATGGGTTGCACAGCATCTGCGCAAACTTGACTGCGACCTGTTAATGTTCTGACATCTTCAGGACTGCTTTTAAAGGCTTCGTCATAAGATGCCTTTGCTTTTTCGAACTGTTCGAGGCGTCGCAAATAAGCCCCACGTTCACGATAAACTGTCAACGCACCGTAGAGTTGTTTTTCCTCCATTTTATAACTTTATTGACTATAAAATAAAATAAATTTAACTATAAAGGTTCCGGTAAAATAACATAAATTTTTTGATCAAAGATAATACAATCATCACGTTCTTTGATTGTTGAAGTTGCTTTGACAATGACGATTTTCAGTATACGTAATGTGCTCTTTATTATCAAAGAGTATGTAATCACTCATACGTAATATTCTCTTTGCATCTAGATGTATGAAATTGTCACTTTTTGCTGTAAGTGGTGGCTTCAATGTGCTCTGGCATAGCTGATGACGTTTAGTCACAACTCACCATCAGATAGACTGATTAGTCATTTGCCTTCGAAAGTAATAATAAACATGAGTTGTACATTCGCATTAATTCTAATACGAATGAATAACTCATGTATTCGATAGACAGTGATGGAATGACTAGAAATATTTAATAGATTTGCTACTGATGACAGGGGTCTTGTGAGCCCGCACGTATATACAGTCACTACCACGCTGCCTATATCTGCTGAATTCCGGTTTAGTGAAAGAGCAAATTATTGTATAAAACTAAGATTTTAATCTCGTAGCACCAATAACGTTTTGATGTCTACGGGCATCTATAAACACTGAACACGAAGTGAGCCGTGAGCTCGATCACCAGTTAAGAAATAAAGAAAACAGGCAACCGTAACTGCGGTGTCTACTCGTCGTTAAACAGTGAGTGTTTCACAAAAGAAATATTGATATCGCCGTCTATAGCAAATATTACAAAAAGGTTACATTTAGGTATAAGGTTACATTAAGGTTTCGTAACTTTAAAAAAAAGGTACATAACTGTTAACCACATCGTGCTCCGCGATCATCTTCTTCGAGATCTAACTATTGAGTGGTGAGTAAGGGGTAATTGTATTAATCGATCTTCACTCTATTCAAAAAAGTTATATTTATAACATTAGATAGGGTAAACATGCTTATGAGTCTCCTGATTTTATGTGGTTATCGAAACTCATACACATCACAGGTCGAAAAAAACTAAATACATTCAAACACATTGCAGCGTTTGTAAAAATATTTTTCGAAACAGTAATTACCCCTATTCAAAATAATGAATAAAATTTTAGTTTTCGAGTAAAAAATTTTATTGGTCATTTATTAAGAAATCAGTCCTTGTTTGCGTGTCAGAGTTGCTTAGAGAGCGATGTATCTGGCGATGGGAGCAGGGTACGCTGCTCTTAGTGGGGCCGGGTAGGCAGCAGCAACTGGAGCACTATACGCAAGAGGAGCTGTATAGGCAGCGGTGTACTTCGCGACGGGGGCAGCAACGACCGGCGCAGCAGCCAAACGTGCCGCAACAGGAACAACAGGGGCAGCTACGGGTGCGGCCACAACGCGAGCAGCAGCGATGCGGGCTGGTACTACGGCAGGCTCGGCGACTACAGCAGGAGCGGCAGCCACAAGAGGCTCCTTGCGTACTACCGCGTTGAACCCATTCACAGAGTCAGCTGAATAATCAACAGTACGACGGGTACCGTCAGGTTCAACGAGCGAGTAGGAACCCTGCACTAAGTCGCCGTTGCGTTCTTCTTGTTGGCTTTTGTAGTCACCAGTGAGAGAGTCCGCTACGTCGTATCCAAATCTATATTGAGGGAGTGGGTCAAATTCTTCAAGTCTGGCCGCTACGGCTGGGGCCGCCACTACAGGCTCGGCAACGAGCGGAGCGCTGGCACAAGCCATGGCAACCAGGCAGGAGAATACAACGACCTGAAATAAAAAACAATGTTTTACTAAACTGCAATTAAGAATGCGAAAATCTTCTAAACGAATGTATGTCGTGTTAACTGTACTTGAAACAGTGACACGGTTACTTGAAGGCGAGACCGGTAGTAGACTTGCGTAAGCATTTGCGCTCAGAAATTGCTAATAAGCTGAGGGTACTGTTCGTCAAGGACAATGAAGGCGTTGTCTCCTGCATCTAAATTAGTTTAGACGTCGATTACATTATACGATAATACATTTAGGCAAGACTAAAAGAATTTCCTTTTATGGTGGAAGTTGGCTATAATTATTAAATAAATGCGTGAGTTTGATACAAAAATAATAAAAATAATTGAAAATAATGATAACCTTAAAACAATGTTAGAATCACCGAAAAACATAGATGGTAGGAAAAACTATTGTTATCATATTTCAAATAGAAAAAAAAGAGGTCCGTAATTCTGATACTGAAACTCTTAAAGGGACAAATAATGCGCTTGCTAGTCTTTTCAGCGAACACGGAAAGTGAAGTATGTATAAAAATATAATTTTTGAGAAAAAAAAAATTAAGACGTTATTGTAAAAAATTACCTTAAAAGCCATTTTAGTGGTAGAAGATGTTTTGAGAGTTAAACTCAGATGTGACTATGGTCCTGTTTGGGTCGGCGAGGTATATATAGTAGCAGTTGGTTGTGACACCGCATCCCAAGTTCGCGCTTTGTATTATGCTTGCGCGTCACTATGGATGTGCACGCAATTGGAAATGAGCTACAATTTGTCAATGGCGGAAAATTCGAACGCGTTCTTGACTTTCGGCCAACTATTATGAAATTGAATGCGCCGAAAAATTTAAAATTTTACAGGTAATTAATGAGAAGCTGTGACTCAATTTTGCGCGGAAAGCAAATAATGATTTAGTGCTCTTAGAGCTATCTGTGCCTTGTCGCTCAAAGGTGAATTGTAGGAATCGCCGCCAACTAGATTTTCGATTACTGGTAGTAAGGTGTCTGCTGAGTCGGCAAGGGTCGGTACCAGTAATGCGTTCCGATTTCGAGAGTGGGACAGCCGTCGTACTTATAGAACTGATAGGTACTGAACTGAACTGAACTCATGTCTTAAGGCGGCATTTACATTGCTCATGTCTCATGAATGTCTCATGATTTTCGGTAATCACTTAACACCAGCAGGCCTGTAAGCTCGTTAACACGTGCCAGACATAACAAAATCCTGATAGACCTGTTTTATTATACGACCATCCTCAAAAAATTTCAAAAATCATAGATTTTACATGAAATAACATGATGCCTTTAAAATTCAGCAAATTATTCCAAAATAATTCCTGTTTACATCACGCTACCAAAAAAACTGAAAATAATGAAATTAACACTCAAAACGTGACAATTCTAGTGCTAATGATCTATTCTAAAATTATAATCGAGTACGCATTTAATCATATGTGTGGAATAATCAAGTCAAGGAGCAAGCGTAAGACAGGGTCAAGTGGAGACAGCTTGTGAAGGCGTCGTGGCCTAAAGGATAAGACGTCCGGTGCATACGTGTTGAGCGATGCACCGGTGTTCGAATCTCAGGCGGGTACCAATTTTTCTAATGAAATACGTACTCAACAATTGTTGACGATTGATTTCCACGGTGAAGGAATAGCATCGTGTAATAAAAATCAAACCCGCAAAACTATAATTTGCGTAATTACTGGTGGTAGGACCTCTTGTAAGTCCGCTCGGGTAGGTACCACCACTCTGCCTATTTCTGCCGTGAAGCTGTAATGCGTTTCGGTTTGAAGGGTGGGGCAGCCGTTGTAACTATACTTGAAACCTTAGAACTTATATCTCAAGGTGGGTGGCGCATTGACGTTGTAGATGTCTATGGGCTCCAGTAACCACTTAACACCAGGTGAGCTGTGAGCTCGTCCACCCATCTAAGCAATAAAGAAAAGGCCCTATATAAGCGGGGTAGCCTAGGACTACAACAACGCATTTAATGATAATTATTGCATCGTCTCAACCAAATCTTGAATGCCATCTAAATCTCGTAAAGCTTTTTTTACTATAAAATAATTTAATGAAATAATTACTTTTAACTCGATGTTAGTACAACAGTTATGACTAATTGTTGAAAGTATTCTGTATGAAATGCTCAACGCCTCAAGCGTTCGCCTTTCGAGCATTCGATGACATATTCCGACCAACAAGACAATATATTTGAATTAGAACAAGGACTACTAGGTGAGGTAGTACTTACATTAGTATCAAACATATGTGTAACTAATAATCTAAGAGAGGTTCTAGATAAACAAGTAGTCAGATGAAGTCTTAAAAATATTTCTAAATCTTGAATCGATAAAAGGGAATTTTACACTTCTAAGTACTTAAATGGACTAGTGAAAAGAATTCCTTTTGTAATTGCTATCTATTGCCTACTTTTAAAAATCGTGATCATTTCATGAGAAGTTTTGGTATTTATCGATCACTGAATGTTTTTTGGAGTATTAGATTAAGCTCCACAATATAATAGGTCTTTACATCGTGCAAACTGAAATTTACAATGCGATCGTTGCATCCATATGAATTGGTTACAATATTTTTTATTTATTGCTTAGATGGATGGACGAGCTCACAGCCTACCTGATGTTAAGTGGTTACTGGAGCACATAGACATCTACAACGTAAATGCGCCACCCATCTTGAGATATAAGTTCTAAGGTCTCAGTATAGTTACAACGGCTACCCCACCATTCGAACCGAAACGCATTACTGCTTCACGGCGGAAATAGGCGGGGTCGTGGTACCTACCCGTGCGGACTCCCAAGAGGTCCTACCACCAGTGAAATAACTATTCTTACAATAAAATAAATGAAGTGAATAGAGAGCCCAGTTTTTTTTAGGTTTAAGTGGATGAGCAAGCTCTGAGCTCATCTGCCTTCCACCCAAAGGCGGATTATTCGTAAGGCAAACTAGGCACGTGCCTAGGGGCGTGTAGTTACAAGGGGCGCACGAGCTCAACATTTTTAAATAAATAAAGAAAGTAATATGTCTACGAATAAGAACCAAGTGCTGATATAGATCAGCTAATGCTCATATAGATTATAGACTCTAAATCTTCTGTCGTCCCTCTTGATTTCTGAAAGCGCGACCTCATACAACGCGAGACCTCATACAACGCGAGACCTCATACAACGCGAGACCTCATACAACGCGAGACCTCATACAACGCGGAACCTCATTCGACGCGAGACCTCATACAACGCGAAACCTCATACAACGCGAGACCTCATACAAAGCGCGACCTCTTTTACGCGAAACCTCATACAACGCGGAACCTCATTCAACGCGATACCTCATATAACGCGAGACCTCATACAACGCGAGACTTCATACTACGCGAGACCTCATATTACGTGAGACTTCATACAACGCGGGACCTCATACAACGCGAGACCTCATACAACGCGACACCACATACAACGCGGGACCTACTACAACGGGTGACCTCATATTATTATTACGCGAGACCTCAAACAACGCGAGACCTCATACAACGGGTGACCTCATATTATTATTACGCGAGACCTCATACAACGCGAGACCTCATATTACGCGAGACCTCATACAACGCGAGACCTCATATTACGCGAGACCTCATACAAAGTGGGACCTCATACAACGCGACACCTTATACAACGCGGAACCTACTACAACGCGTGACCTCATATTTTTATTACGCGAGACCTCATACAACGCGATACCGACCGTTGTAGTCAACGCGAGAGAGGTCTCGTACAACGTAAAAAATAAAGTCAAAGTCAAAGATTACATTGTAAAGTAAAATTGACTACATTTAAATATAGTAGTATTACACGCTAGTACTACATATATTTATATCGCTTCGCTTCGGAAACATTAAATTTTATTATTGATAGCTGAGTCCCGCAATGTTACCTGCGATTATTATCTTACCGCGGGTGACGCCGCGGGGCGAAGCTAGTCTAAAAAAAGTAGCCTAAGTTACTCCTTATATCATCCATCAGTGAAAGTCTCGTCAAAATCGGTCCAGCCGTTCCAAAGATTAGCCGGAACAAACAGATAGACAGACAGACAGACTGATAATCGCCTTATCGTTGCCGCTGCTGACTACTCCCCGAATCCTGATCACGCAGGAGCCAGTCACCGTCGACGCTCTAGACACATTCTTATGGATCCCTCAGATCCAATAACCCTTGCACTAGACGCCTTTAGCTCTAACATTAGGTGTGGACTTAGGTATCCCGGTAACCGTACTCGTCGAACTCGAGAAAGAGTTTGACGTGCAACCGAACCTAAATAAACATCAACTCGCTGAGTTTCTCACCGGATCTACTCAACTTGTCACGATTCCGATCCGGTAGTAGATTAATTCGCGAAGCAGCTACTCTTGAGTTGTTAGGTCTCCGTTGAAGACGCTGAGGTAGCTGTTAGCAAATCCTACCCCTCCTGACTGAGTCCTGGCTCGCTTACATGTCCTGGTGAAACTGAAAAGGCGTCCGGGTTACTAATAATGCCTCAATCATAAAAAAAAGCTGCCAGGACTTTGTAACACAGTCATGACAATGAATTAAACCAAATGTAGGGATTTTTCGGGTGTCTAGCACGATATACGAGTATATTATATGTTGAGAGTGTTGAGTAGATGTATATTTAGCTGAAATATATGTGTTATTTAAGCTTTGAATATAATCTTGCAGAAAAATGTTGGTCGAGTGGACTGATCCGTACAAGCAGTAACTAATTACTAATTCAAAAATGGTACAGGATATAAGTACAAAATTTCTTTGTAGAGTTTCAACCCCGTCGATTCAATAAGTGTATTTATTGTCTATGTTACTAGCCCCAATATCAGTCAGTCAATATTAATTAACTACTAGACTTGAATGAACTGTAGCCTGGTACTGTCGTCAACACAATATTTGTGTGACAAACAATAATATAGCTAAAGTAACCGTGATTTTTGTATCAGAAGGAAAGGATGAAACACAACAAAAACAATTCTAAACTTTAAATTAGGTATTCAGTTTTTATTTTCCGATTTAAATTAATTCATAAATACTCGTCGGTTTTGATTGACTAGTGACAAGACATTAATGATGGTAGATTGGAGCAGAGTAGGCCACGGGAGCGGCGTGCACAATAGGAGCGGCGTGCACAACGGGTGCGGCGTGCACAAGGGGACCTGCGGCGTAGGTCAGAGGGGCGGCGATTTTGGCAACTTTAGCAACGTGGGCGAGGGGCTCCTTGTGCACGACAGCATTGAAACCGTTGTGGGGGTCGGCGGTGTAGTCGACGGTGCGCTTGGTGCCATCGGGGTCAACGACGGAGTAGGAGCCTTGAACGACGTCGCCATCGCGGGTCTCGTGTTGAGTCTTCGAGTCACCAGTTAGACTGTCTTGCACGTCGTAAGCGAAGCTGTACTGAGGATGAGCGTCGTATTCCTCGACTTTAGCGACCGGGGCGACAGCGGCAACTTTGGCGAATGGGGCGGCGTACGCTACAGGACTAGCGTGTATAAGATGAGCAGCCGGAGCAGCATGTACCACGGGAGCAGCTGCGTATGCGACTGGAGCAGGGTGTGCGGTGTATGCCGCAGGAACAAAGCCTGCTCGAACAGCGGCAAATGCGCAGACCAGGACAGCGAGCTGAAATTAAACACATTATTTAGATTAAGACATTAAGTAGGCCACAATAATCATAAGTAGCTCTCACGAACTTAGACTAAATAAAATATTATTGACGCTTAATCAGTAATTGCAATATTTACCTTGAAGGCCATTGCTACAGAGATAAATTTATAATCTAATTCGTTGAATCTGTACTTTGAGGAGACCTCTAGTTGACTGTGCCTGCAATTTCATCTCGCGACGTTTTATACGTTTCTCTCGTGCCTAAAGCATTGCATTATGCCCACACCAAGTTACAGGCGTACAAGCTGTGTATGTGAGATAATACAAACTGGTTTATCTTAAATGTCATTGAAATCAAACTTCGACAATCAGATGAATAATTATTAATCATTCCATATACATTAAATTGTAACGAAAGAAAACGCGATTCAACAATATTGCTGGGGAAGATAGATACTTAGGATTCAAATTTACCAAATTTATCAAATTACACATTGGTGTTATTTAAACATTAACTTAATAATGTGTGACCGATTTGTTTATTTATTTATTGTTCGTATACATAATTTAACGAAGTATTAACCCATGAGAATTTACCCAACTTGCGGTTTCCATAAACATACCGCCCCCTTTTTGATTTATTAGTTTCAGTCCTCAATTAATTCGAAACAATTGACCGCTTATGTTAAAAACAGATCAGTCGGTATTCGGATTCCTGTTCCTGCCTTTAGATACAACGTTCTACATCTACAAGACCAGTATTATCGACTGTAAAAAGAATAAAAATCTTGGTCTTTGTTACTACTATTTTAGAGATTTTGCTTTCTTTCATTGACGTCAATAGGTAGACGTGCATGTGATTCAGCTAATGTGAATAGGTTACCGAAGCCCAGAGGCATTGCAAAGTGAATAGTGCTTCCCATCTTGAAATACGTGAGATATTTTGTATCGTATATGGTTTTTGTAACCTCCAAAGATGGTAGGTGTTCTAATACTGAGAATAGATTGAAGCCCTACTTTGCCTCCCGTTTTGGTAGAATGTAAAGAAATTCTATATCAATCCGGCAAGTTTCCACCACAAGGTTTTAACGAAGCTGCAACTTAATCGTAACTATTAATAGATAATAATGTCTTAACTTAAGTGGAAAACAATTTCAGCTTTAGTATATACCTAATTAACGTAAAAAAAGAAATGATTACAGTTGATTTTTCAAAACGTGTTCAAGAACACTGCTGGCTGGCTTAATAATATGTGTCGAATATAAAAATTTCCATCAATAATGTTTTTTTTATAATTAAATTTAAATATGATGCAATACTGTAAAACAGTTCATCAAGAATATAGATTATTTTTGAAAAACATACTTGCCTTAATTAACAAAATCCTCCTTGGATCGCATTAAAAATAACACAAACATATGTGAAAACGAAAAACTTCACTTACACATAATAGTAATCTGTCACTGAAAATTTAGAAAACTAAAAGCTTAAAAAATCAAGATATGTTATTAAAATCGTTGTACGGCGTCTCGAGGTTTGGTGTCCGATTCTATAGAAAACTAATTGACCCTTTGGACCTTTTGACCGGCATCGAGAAACGTGAATTACTCGCGCATTTAGCGGGAGATTGCGATCCATTCCGTATTCTTTCCATCAAGAAAGGTACAAAAAACTGGTTAAGCATTTGAAAAAATCATTGTCTTTAGAAATAGATTGAACTTTATAATCTTTTCAAGAAGTGTAGTACCCATACACGGGAAAAAATCAATTACATATCATTGACGCTTAGTGGCTCCGAGTTACTATATAGTATTACGCTTAAAGTCATGATATCATCTGCCTATCTTCACAAATGAAAAACACAATAACTATGTATGATGTCCGTGGCGAGCAGCGTAGAGCCGATAAGGTACTTACGTATTAACGCCACCGCGGTAAAAATTTAATGGTTAGCAATAGTAAAATTGCTCGTGTTTTGGTAATAAAATTGCATAAATATTCGAAAAATATGTAAAAGCGAATTAGAGCACCCCACTTTCCACCTGGTCTTGTCTGCCCTACCCTTAGAGTGTATATAAAAACCGGAGGCGCGGAGGGAGAGCAGTCCTCGCCCGCTGTGACGGAGCACGGAAACAGTGCGAGGCGGAGCGGCTGAGGTTGGTCGCCGTAGAGCATTGAACTTCTATAAGCTGATGAAGATAACAAAGGTAATATATTCTAGGACCCGGAACACGCGAGCGTCCGAACTTGATACCCAGCTCAAACTCATCTCGTCTCATTTGCTGTCATTGTACCGAGTCGGACAACCATCTGAAATTTATGTGGCTACACCAAGGAGATCCAAAACGATGCGGCTGTGGATACTGGTTTGAATTATGTCCAATTGCACCGCTTTAAGGTGTTGTTCTATTGTGACTTGAAATAAAAATTATTTAAGAAATTCGTCTTCTTCTTTCTTTCCTATTTATTACCTGGGGTGTGGGGCTCGAATCAAATCCTTCCATTTACATCGATCTTGGGCAGTCTATTTTAACTCCTCACGCAAAAAACTCGAAACAAAAGCAAAAAATTTTTCTGGCTATTATAATTATACATGTATACCAGGGAAGAGTCACCCAAGGTCTTATCTGTCAGTAAGTATATTACGATATATCTATGCTTCAATTCCTGAATATCGCATCCAGGAGTAAGAGCGTTCATAAAAGGATTTCAAATTAAAAGATGCCGATAAAAATGAAAATGCCATGTCGTGATAAACTACGTATCAATAACTATTTATTAAAAGCAGGCGCTACCGATATTTTCTGCAGCCTGTTTTATTCGTGGTATGCTGTGCAGGAAAAACTGATATTATAAACGAAAATTTTCAAAATTCTATTAGTAATAAATTCCTGTTGTTTTTTTATTAATTTAAAATTGAATATATATTTGGGTATGTACGTGAACCTATGTCGTCGTGGCCTAAAGAGTATGACGCCTCGAGTAAGTACCGAACTACACCGTTGTTCAAATCCCGCAGGCTGGTTGGTAGGTACCAATTTACCAAAGGAAATCACGTACTGATGTTCACGATTGACTTTCCACAATAAGGGAATAATATCGTGTAATAAAAATAAAACCCGCAAATAGGTACATTTCCGTAATAGACTTGTATTGTAATACATCCTTCATGTATTGTAATCGTGCCGGATAGGTACCGCTATTCTGACTATTTCTGCCGGGATATAGTGATGTGTTCTAGCGTTAAGGGTGAGACAATCTTCATAAAATTCAATTTAGTCTTCGTCTTCATGTCTCAAGATTGATGGTTGCATTTACTTTGTGATTTCTATGGGCTAAGTAACTGAGCAATTAAATACATAAATGGTTTTCCCTAACGCTGTTCTCAATCGTTCTCTCATTGGTAAGCATTGTGACTCCTTTAATGGAGTCTGTTCCTCTGATTGATAATAACAATTTTCCTAAGTACATTTTTGTTTACATATAAAACGGGTTATGATCTGTCCTGTCTCATCTTGCCATCAAAAATTCAGACGAGGACAGAATATTGCAATTAATAAAATTCAATTTTTTTTAAAAAACATGTGTATATGCTAATATAAATTTTGTCATTGTTTTTAGATTGATTTTCATTACGTTCCCTACTTTGTACAGAATTAGGTGTTGGTATCTTAATTGTAAACTATTCTATAGAATAGATATTGTCTTTAAATTAATTTCACGTCATTAATTAATACAAACAACTGGTGATCAGATGAATTGTGAAACCTGGTATGGTTCGCTACCACAGCCTGTCGGGTGATACAGCAAAACAGCCATGCGTTCTAGTTTGAAGACTGGTATAACAATAAATAATGGAAGCTTATAGTTGGATGTAAAACTACCGCTGTATCATTGTTGTACCATTAAGGTACCGTGAAGTCGTGGTGGACTTAAGGATAAGAGCTCCCATGTACTTGTACCACGTGCATTCCATTATTCTTACATTTCCCGGTCGTCCCAAATACCACATCCGATCCTCACAAGATACAGCTAAACCAAAACAGACAGAAGACAAGGTAATGCGTTTCAATATTCTATATCTCTAGATTTATTTCAACGAGATTGAAAACATTTCAGTATAGAGATATATATTAAGATACAATTAGATCGACAACTACATAATATATTGTGAAGGTTTCTTCGTAATGTATCCGCCTACCGACCGAAATCGGATATACCTACACAAACAGGAACTTGCAAATATGTCGTCGGAAATTGTGGTGATTGGTGAATAATTTCGAATTCCCTTATTTATAGACCTTGTTCATGCAATAATATAATATAATAATATAATACGAGTACATTTTGTATACGCATTCAATACCTACGGATTTAATAATATAATGTATCGTCCTGGTCCTTTTTTTTTTAATTTGTTATCAATTATTTTTTTCCTTGAAGGAATCCATAAAACTGCGGAATAAATCGATTCAATTTATTAATAACAAATATCCTAACTGAATTAATATTAAGCGAGCATCGATGTATATAAAAGTCACATTAGATACCACCCATCTTGATACAGACCTCTACGAGTAATGTACATGCAGGTATAAGTTTATTGAAACTACTTTTTAGCCTTTAAAAATTAATATTTATTCAGTACAATCTATTACACTTACAAAATGTCGATGACCTTGTTTACAAATATAAACTTAAATTAGTATCACAATGAATTCACCTAGCACGAATTCTATAATCATTTGGTGGCCGGTAAGAAATATTGTCCGTGTGGAAATACAATGTCTTCCGCTTTGATCTCATTACGTGCTGTGAAATAAATCTGCTGCTTAGGATAATATGACATGAACGGAACCCGCACTCCATTATTCGATAACCTTGGACCGAAAACCGGAAATTGGTTCACTCTATCGACATAATTCAGGTTTTGTAACTGTAATGTCGGTGTAGGGTTTAGCGGTTGATGTGTTTCCGATGGTTCTTCTCTAACTATTGCTTTGAAGCCGTTTTTTGAGTCTGCTGTATATTCTACAATACGTTTCCTTCCGTCAGGGTCTACAACAGAGTACGCTCCTGTTATAAGATCTCCTTGGCGTACTTCGTGCTGACTTTTACTGTCTCCCGTTGTCGGGTCCTCTATACTGTATGAATATTTGTAGTCGTTTGGTGTAGGCAGCGGATCTTTTACAATAATACTGATCACTGCCGGTATTGTGCATAATATCAACGATTCCTGAAATAAGATAATTCTTAATTTAATTTACTCGGAATACAAGTTTAATAGAAATAGTTAATAGTTTTTACTGGTGGTAGGACCTCTTGTGAGTCCGCACGGGTAGGTACCACCGCCACGCCTATTTCTGCCATGAAGTAGTAATGCGTTTCGGTTTGAAGGGTGGGGCAGCCGTTGTGACAATGCTGAGACCTTAAACTGCGTGCGGCTTACCCGTGCGGGTTCATAAAACGGGCATTTTACTAAGAAATGTTCACCAAGTATTAGAATCTTTGTCGTAAATTCAGATACTTTGTAGTTTTAATGATACCTAGCATATAGCAGTTACGTATAGAAAAAGGACAAAGTGAACATCTACTACCGAGCGTAGATACAGCTTCGCGGCGATAGTCCAAGCGTTGTTGTTCGGAACTTGTATATAAACAAGCTTGCCAAATATATAAATGACTACTGATGCATCGAGACTAAGCCTTTCCAAGCTTAGATGTAGTTGCTTAGTTATGGACTTCGGTTAAAGGGCAGTCAAATATATCTCAATAAAAAGTTAGGGGTTAAGGCTGTATTCACTGTTTTCAAATGATTATCTTAACTACCTTAACACTAATTAAGGCTAAGGCTTCCTTGTGTATTTGTTTACAATGAGTTAAACATAGATCAAACTAATTGAATTGCGTCTAAAACATAAATTCGTACTTTTGTGAACATATTTCCATTTCGCATTTTTTTACACTTTGGACCTTGGTCCCGAGAATTTTAGTACAAAATGAATTTTAGTCGTACTCTGCACCTACTTTCTTCAGTTAGGTAATGTTTATCGAATCAATTAATTGCACCAACGTTATTGTAGCAAGACATAATATTAAAACAATAAAACATTACGCAACCTAATGATCATTGCTATTCTCACTTCCTACATTATATTTAATTTTACAAACTCAAGAATAATACGATTAACTATGGCACAAATACATTCCTTTGAAAATTGAATATTGCTTTACGAAATATTTTTAAATTAACCATTGTTTCCTTATTTTTATCCGGTGCTAGGTGAACTTATTAAGAAATGCGCATTACTTTATAATAACACAAAGCAAACATAATTCATTTCATGTCAAGCGCATATTTTTTTAACTTTTTAAGGGATTACTTTTCGGAATATCACTCTTCAGCTTAAGTACTTAAAGAGCATTATGGGAATATTTACTTCCAAAACCTCTTGATACATCGATTTAGGTGGTTTATTATTATTATCTGTTTATTATCTGTCAGTAAATAGTTAACGGTACTATTTGACAATATCAAACCCTCGAATCAGAGTAGGTAGTTGACAGAAATATCCACGTCGTTAGTATGTACCGATGTTGGCTCTCACACCAAATTCGATTACGAGATTTCTTAGACTTGCACAAACAGTGTATACTTGATTGTACATGCATCAAGATGCATAATTAAAAATACAATAGGTGGCCTTATCGCCAAAAGCAATACCGCAAAATAGATAATTATGACAGGTGAGATGAGAGATGAGAGAGATGTAGATGAGATTATTATCAGTAATGAATTTTATCAAATTATTTTAATTTTGAAGATAGCATCAGATAACTACGAGTATAATGAAGTTTACTTATTTGATAGCAAATCGAATTGTCTTAGAAGGCCCTCAAAGCGTTTTCTCCCGTGTTATGGGCGTGTCTCCAAGAAACTTACAGATACGATTACGTGAAAAAGTCCGCCAACTGAAAGCCGAATAATAGCTTCCTTTGAACAATAATCTAACTACGCCGTAAATCTAGTCGTGTCGGTGCAGTACAATGTTTAGTCTTGTCAAAACATAATACCAGCTTGGACTGAACAAATTAAAAGATTAGGTTTACTATTCAATCACGCAAAAATAGCGGAACGAATTTGACTTAATTTTTGCAGAATTTATAGAGATTTAACACAATAACCCGCGTAACACCGGCCATAAATATCTGCTATGATAAATACGGCAGTGTATTCGCTGGTTCGTGATTTTACCAATAAATAGTACTTACTGGACCCAAGAAACACAAGCAACTCTATACCGGGAAATACAACATGTTTCATGCTCTCTGAATTGCAAATTTAACGTGGGACAAATTGCGAGTCACGGCTGATTGGGTTAAATAAAATAAATATCATTGCGCTTGAAATATAGCTAAAATTTCTGGAACTTTGTGGTGTCAATGACTTGCAGTATGTCTGCAAGCATGTCATTCACACCACAATGTTAATATACCTTAACAGCGAAAGCTCTCTCTGTACCCAAACAGGAAATTTGCTACTAAACAAATGAACTACGGGTACTACACCGGATGTATATCTTTAGGCGACGACAACTTTTAAAACACTGAAAATATAGTAACACGCGATCTCGAATCTGTGACTTTTACGCATCAAACCTCCACAAGCTGTATATCATTAAAGACCCTTTAAAATGCACATCTTAATTCACAAATAAAATCTTGTTTGCCCGAGCCAAAGAGTCTCACGAATCCTTTTAAGCTCACACCGCTGATATCATACGCACACGTATTATTTCTTACACTAAAAGCAAAAACGTGAATAATTAAAAATAATTACCCTTAGCATGTTGAGCGTTCAACAATAGAGTTCCCGAGTAAACGGTGCATTGAGAGATCGTAAGTCGTATTTATAGACGATTGCATTCACTCGAATGTTCCTTGGTGGCAGACGGGCGTCTTGGTACAACGGCCACAAGTGGCTGGCTTCTGACTAAACATCTATATCTCAAGATATTGTGTTTCATTACTAAATTCTCGCGTTTCTATTGAATCGGTGCATTGAACTCTCGTACTCGACTTCGTTATTCATCAAGATTTTATAATTGTGTTGATTACCATTTAATAAGCATAGGTGAGATTTAAAATTAGTATTAGTGGTTTTGAACTTAAAATAGTACTCCTCTAGTACAGTATATATAAACCGTCATTAGGACCTGATCACGTCGACAATTCCAGGACTTTTTTGCTCTAAACAAACAGAGATCTCATGTTAATCAATTATATTATAGATGACGATTATAGATTATACTCGTAGATGACATCAAAGCCTTGTGATCTAAAGCTGAAGTCAGAATTGAATTGTATACAATGGAAAAGTGGTAGTCATTATAATGAATTTTAATTATTATAAAAGAATTACATTCAATGAATTATAATGACTACCACCCTTCAAATCAGAACGCAAATTGAGAGTGGTGCTTAGCGGCGTGGGCAACATCATCATTCCTGATATCATTCCTCCATCATAACGTCATTCGTGAAGACGTGAGTTATGAAATTGCGTAAAACCTGTTTCTATGATTTGAACTCGGTACGGTCGCATTGATCAATAGTTTTGTTCTAAAATAGATATATATGACCATATTAAACAGTATTTTCATCAGTTTCTGTTAGTCGTATAGAGATTAATTAAGTATTATTATTAAAAAGTAACTATTGCTACAATTACTTTTATATATCCACAATTATTATAAATGAAATCAGTTCAATAAAATAAACGTTTCAGATTAAGCGCTCCAATCAAAAAACTATCTCCTTTGCTATCGGTACCGGAAACACACATAAGTAAAAAAAGTTTCATCAAAAAAATCATCATGGTTCCAAGCCGGTTTCGGCAATGGCGACCGAAATTTTCCGTTCAATAACATAAAAGCTAATGTCGGCGCCTCTCATGTGCTCTAATATGGCTATGGTAGCCTATCTTGTTCTTAAACGTGCGCAAACAGAAGCTACACGTAAGACCACCACCCACGAAGTTGTAAAAAATGGTGGAAGGCGGTCTATCTTTCAGTTTATTTCGTCTATCGTCCAGTTCGCGCCTCCTGTCCTTTTCAAAGACATACACGCCCCGCTGCACCAAGCGTCTCCACTCCAAACGATTCTGTGCTTGGCCCTCCCAACGAGAGGGGTCAATGTTGCGTTTCTTCATATGCCTCTTCTGAACATACTACTACATACCTTCTCTACCCGGACTAGATCTATAGTGAACGAGACTTCAGACGAACCTTCGTCCTTCTCATTTCAGCCGCATCACGATCTGTAGTGCAAGATAGCGAGACTTCGATGTCTTAAGATTACATGTGGCGTTCCAGTTATGTCTATGTACTCCACTAACCGCTTAAGATCTATTGGGCTGTGAATTCATCAACCCATCTACGCCTCTAAAAAAATACAATTATCTATCATAATATTTATTCACATATTAAATACTACGTAATCTGAGATAAGCAGTCGGATAACATTGTCTTGAGAATCACCATCCAATTAACATTTAATTAATGAAACTATTGGGTATGTTAACACCATTATATCTTTTCGACATTGAGCTATCAGTGCTAAATATAACTACGTAACTAAAGGTGCCTTTGTACGAATTGTTATATAGCTGTTTGTCTTTGTCTAAGTTCAAATTCAAATTCAAATTCAAAATCATTTATTTCAACTTGGATGTCATCAAAAACACACTTGTTGAATGTCAAAATGTAAATGAAAATGTTAACTCTACCACCGGTTCCAAAAAAAGCCACAGTCCTGAGAAGAACCGGCAAAACAAACTCAGCGGGTTTTTTTTTTTGATGTTCTCTAATATTTTCTTTTTTTTTAATAAGAAAACATAACATAACATAATAATAATAATAACATAATAAGCCTATAATACTCGTATATAATGCTATAATTTAAAGATAATTTATTTAAAAATATAATTTCCTAAAAATGGTCATACCGACTCCTGAAATCAAATTGGAAATTTGAGGAAAAGATAATACTCTTAATATTGTGGTTACTACAGTTTTGTTTTAAAAAAACATTTTTACTATTTGTAATTTGTCGGTTTCATATAATCATATTATGAAGCATATAAACCGTATAATTTCGTATTGTTCGATAGTCCATCGCTAATAACTATTTTACTCGGAGACTTTTATTACAGATAATACACAATATGTACATTTAATAAAATATGAAAACAACTAACTGAAATATATTGAAAAATTTAAATTTTAAGGAGTAAATTCAAAGAAAATTGTTTTCCAACTTCATTACAAATAATAACAAAAAGCGAAACAAACAAGGAAGTAAAACAAGTTCTGTAAAATATTTCTAATGGCAGTAAAGTGTTCATGGATGGGGACTTTTAAATTACACACAAATATTTTTTGTTTATTTACCTGTCTGTGCCAATTGTAAACTTTATATAAGTTTAGTATTATTTAAAATACATTAATTACTATTTTTTGTGTTTTTTATAAATTTTTTTAAAACCGTCCAGGTTTTTGTTTCATTTCATAATTCTTTTTCCTACTATTAATTTTTTTTCGGGCACGCTATATACTTGTAGTAATTAGTACCACTTAAGTTACTTCTACGACTAAGATACATATTATTATGATACTTCATATTTTGAAATATGTCAAAAAGCTTAAGCTGTAAAGCGTGCTAACAAACAGTACTTAAGTATCTATCTACCCTTCAAAAAATTTCCCTCGGAGGCTTAAAATAAAATATAAATACTTATTCAAGTTAACAAAAACCAAAAACTTCGCGAAGTGAATATCACCGCCCACCTTCCGAAATGACCCGAAGTGTCAATTGCGTTACATAACGGTTCTTCCACTCTTTAAACTGGAGTTTTTCTTCACGGCCCAGATATACAAATTAAAATAAAAAGATATAAAAACTCGAGATTTTGGGGTTTAATTTATTAGACAATGCTAATCCTTTGCCGTAATGGTCATTCGTGGGCACGTTTTAAGTCTTTCCCTGAAAATATTGATACCTGATATTTGAGCTCCAGCATAGTCCCACAGCTAGAAACGAATGCGATGGGTGACTTCCTTTAATCAACACCAACTTCTGAAAGTTTGGCCACTGAGTTTCTCTGCAAATCTTCTCGATGGGTCGCGATTCCTATCCGGTGGTAGATTCTGCTCTTGCTTGGGTTAGTGTTAGAAAATTCTTTCAGGTTCAGTCCTTGAGCTCACCACGTAGTTGAGCTATGCGTGCGTAGCTGGAATTGCCTCTTAGGCTACCAGCTAATAGGTAGGGAAAAAACTGCAAGCGACAATTATTCAGATTATCTATCAAGAAATAATTATTTTACACAGTTCATACTTTAAATTAAATTATGCAGAACTTGTCGTTAAATAATAGAAAATGTTTTTGTTTCTTAAGACAGATTAGATTTACGAGGACGCTTAAATACATACAAATCGAACATAGCCAACGCTAAAGTGGAAAAGAAAGGTGTCACGACTACTCACGACACTGAACCTTGCAATTGATACATATCTAGACCAGTAGATCGTGATATAATAATCATAACCAGTTCGCGAAGCACTAAGTCACAGACAAACTTCGTTAACCTGATTAATGAGATAATAAATGCAATAATAATGTCAATAATTTATTACTTTGAAAACGAAAATGAGCTTTTATATTTAAAAAAATGCCACGCAAATGCAAACTTTTTGTAAAGCCAATTGGAGATAAAATAAACGACTTACTAACTGTATAGATCAGTGGTCGGCAAACTTGTCATCCAAAAGAGCCAAATTTAAATAATACGCAATAGACATATTTATTCAAAGAGCCCTTTTTTAAGATATGCTTTGCTTAGTGGAAATAATTACATAACAATTAAATTTGGAAACATTCCGCGGAAAAGCCGTAGCTGAAGAGTTTACAATCCACATACGGTTCGCGAACCGCGGGTTACCTATCACTGCATTAAATAAGTATTATTAAATAATACACAACGATTAGTCGCATAGGTGAATGAGTTACGATTGGTTTTGAGTTAAACGTGAAAAAAATGTCGTATTTAGTTGTAGCGGCTTTCCTAACATTCAAAACGGAATGTAGGACAGCCGCGGAAGAAATAGTCAGGGTGATGATATCTACGAATACATGCTGAGAATAATCTACCACCATCAATTACACGATTTAAAAAATACAGCAGATTTTCTATTTTTCCCATTAATTAATCCCTCCCATGTGAAAATCATTCGTGTACACACGAAAGTTACGAATTTATTTGGAATAATTGTTACGTGTTAGTTCGTTAATGTACATGATACATATTTATTGATATTCATTCAACACTAACGCATCTACTCCAATACCGTCTTTACCATAAGGGCACACGAGGCCCGTGCCCAGGGCCCCCATTCTCAGGAGGGCCCTAAGGACCGACAATTTCCATCGCACATTTATTCGGTTTCCGTTATCGTGATCGTAACCAAAAAACCAGCAGCATTCTAATATCATTAATGACATTATATCATACCGTATTTGATTACCTATAATAAATGGTCATACTCAGTAAAAAAATGTTATTATAATTCGCTTTTTTTACTTTCCAAAAGGGCCTCAAATTCTTGTGTGCCCAAGGGCCCCAGCCTAATTTAAGACGTCCCTGATCTACTCCGAGCACCAACCGTGGGTGCTTCATGCGAGAGCTCGTTCCTATGGATCGTTCGAGACTGTGCACTCTTTATTATTATTTTATAAACGACTAGCTTTTGCCCGCGACTTCGTCCACGTGGAACAGTTCACAAATAATGATTTATTTTAGAACAAATTTGGTTAGCATGAAAAACGTTATAGTGAGCCAACCTTAACATATAGACATATGCTGTCGCAGACTTTTTTTTAGATCTTTTAAAGGGGAACAATTCTGTCATACATTATTTTAGCGAAACTTTAACCGTTTCTGCAGCGCACGCAGCAGAAGCTCTTTAAAGGGAAAAAACCCCAATTTTGAAACATTCTTTATTGGTGTTCTGCTTGTATTGATCTTAGCCTGCCTCAATAAATGGGCTATATAACACTGAAAGAATTTTTCAAAGACCAGTAGTTCCTGAGATTAACGAGTTCAAACAAACAAATTCTTCAGTTTTATAATATTAATATAGATATTTATCTGCGCCCGTAGCGTTTAAAACTGTTTAAAGCTGTTTAAAACCGTATCTAGTTGTTATAAGTGGTAATATAGGATGTTTGAAATTTCTGAAATGTGTTTGTAAATGGGTACAAAGCTGAGTTCTGCCTCCTGATACAAATTACCGAATAACACATGAATAATCAAAACTTTTCGATCTATACTATAACATAACGAATACAAAGAGGAAAGATTTGATTGTTTATTTGTTACTTAAACTCCAAAAATACTGAACCGATATGAAAAATTCTTTCACAGTTGGGAAGCTGCACTATCTCCGGGTGACATAGGTTATATTGTATTTAAAAAAAAGATGGGACCCTTACTAAAAATAATGTAATCCAAGGTGTAAAAAAAATACATAAAATATTATTTATATTGCGTGCGCTGCGAAAACTATTGATGGTAGAATAAAATAATGTACTACGACTTTGTAGAACCCATTATTATATACAAAAAGTGTCGCGACAGCATAATATGTCTAACCATTATAGTTATGCCGCAATAAGTGTTCTTTTATTAAAAAAAATAAAACAACGTCACATATCGTTATCGTATCGTCACGTATCGAAATTTTTGTTAAAGAACCGAACGCAGCCGGAGCGGACCGCTAGTTATTTATAGAAATAAAACTACGTCAGCCATTGTTTAAAGGGAAGCGCTGAGACTCAATGAATTCAATGGCTTTTGCTTTGTATGTATGACGAAATTTTTACGAAAAACTTATTAAAAATAACAAAAAATGAAATAAAAAATAATAACAATAAAATCATTAACATAGAAATAAAATTTCATTAAAATAATAATATTCAAACTTTCGTTATAATTTTCTTCTTCTAGTATAACCTAACGCAAATTATGTGTGTGTATTTTAATTTTGAATTTTGAAATTGAAGCCTGTGCGTGCCGCTATATGGAATAAGTCACATTGAATATTTCTTGGTAATTATGGAACTGAGTATGTGAACTTTTTATTATTGCGAGCACGCGACTTAGGGTAAGGTTCAGAAGGGTAAGACAACTTCATAGATCACGTCTACATGGTAGACGTCGGCGTCTACATTGTAATTTATGGGCTCCGGTAATTGCTTTAATCCTAGAGAACTGTGAGCTTATCTGTCTATTTGGAGTTATAAAATAATAATAAAAATTAACAGACAGCGTTATTTTATGGAAGCAAATTTGCTTGCAGGGCTAAATTAAATCATTGTTTTTTTTTAATTGAGTAACAGAGATAGATAATATTATTATGACAACTAACCTTTCACGCTTCATTGTAGTTTTCGCATATTCGATACAATGACACAAATGATACAAGGGTATCTTTGCAATAAATGTCAAAACAGGCTACGCGCTTTATAAGTCCACGTTACCTACATTTGTAAAAGCCCGTGCACGCAGATAATGGCAAGGCCGGTTGACATACATTACATTACATTCAGACCATTCAGACAAACATTCACACATGTCACTTCGACACGCACTGAACTCGTTCAGCTGGGCGTTCGACCGTTTCAAAATGATCTATATAATATATTAATACGTGAAGCAAAAACATTGGACCCCTTTTTACGAAAATTGTGCGGACGGAGCAGTATGAAATATCTCACACTTATAGAGAATATAGGGAAGAAGCGCAGAATGCTCATTTTTTTTAAATTATGCATAAAAAAATACAATAAATCAATAAAAAAAACATTACTATACTACCATGTATTTGACACACACACGCATGGATACGGTTTGTTTATTGTCAAGCTTTTCTTATTGCACTCACTATAGTCTGTGGTCAAATTGAGAATAGATTAAATATGGGTTGTCGTTATAATTAATATTTTCCTGTGATTATAGAATTTAACAATAGAATCATAATAATGTTCAGACTGATAATTTCAATTAATTATAGTTGAGTTTCGACTACTGCGGGAATACGTAGTATATATTAATCACCAAAAAGAATCACTTAGTATACAAATAGACTGGAATATTATAATTGGAAAATGCATTACGCAGTGACAGCGAACGGTAGGTACCTATAACAAAATATTTAAACTACTTTTTATTTTTATTTTTTTATTTTTTTTATTGCCTTTGTAGGCAGACGGGCATACGGCCCACCTGATGGTGAGTGGTTACCGTCGCCCATGGACTTCAGCAATGCCAGGGGCAGAGCCAAGCCGCTGCCTACCGCTAGAAGCTTTTATTACACTGTTTTAAGCACGGAATAGATAAATAAGGTGTTTTAAGCCAAAATGTCGAACGCATGGCGTTTAATACGGAAAGCTCACAATTTTGAAATACTATACGTTTAATATACACTTGTTTAAGCTAACATCTGTAAAAAGTGTAAGATCGTTGTGAAATTAACAATCTTTTAAATCTTGTTTTCTCTTTTTCATTTTAAACGTGCATACCGAGATAGCACTAAAAGGTTAAATAAAATAATGTATTGATTCCTCTTATTTATTACCTTAGCATTAACATATCAACCAACAAAGCTACATAATAAACATAAATAAAACATTACCATAATACATTTCAGGTCACTTTGACGATTGAGAATTGTTTAGACAGATCCAGTTCCACGGCTAAAAAATGCCAATATAAGTTTTCTACTTAATACATGTGTTTTTAATACACAGGTAATGTCTATATACACATTGGTCATTTTTGTCGTTTGATTCAGTAATGATCTGTCTGAACATGGATCTATTTCATGAAGACTAGTGGAGGTAGGCAGGCGCTACAGCTTTCGCAACGACGCCACCGATGGGTTCTTTGTGTACGACAGCGTTGAAACCATTGTGAGGGTCGGCGGTATACTCGACGATACGACGGGTGCCGTCTGGTTCGACCAGGGAGTATGAGCCTTGGACGACGTCACCAGAACGAGACTCTTGCTGGCTCTTTGAGTCACCTGCAAAAATATTATCAATAGTATCATTTTAAAGCTAGCTGTTACTATATAATTCGCTTTATTATACACATTTTATGTTTTTGAAAGGGTGATAAAATAATAAAATAAAGAAAAATATTATGGCTGCATAAGAACTCTATTTATATTCAGATAAATCAGATTTATATCTATATTCATAATTAAAATTCAGATTTCCAAGTAGTTAATTACAAAAAATACCAACTTTGCAGAAATTAAAAACTAACGGCTAAACTAACTAAAGGGATCGCTGATTCAAAAGATATTATATGTAAAATGTAAGCGAAACTAATGATTATTAGACAAATTAGATTTAACAAAACATTAGGAGAAATCTGCGCATTTTCTGAAAGAGGTGTCTATGGGTTACGGTAGGTAATTACTTAATACCAGAGAGGTAAGCTCATATACCCATTGAACAAAAACCTCTCTCAAAATGAAAACAATTTTATAAAGCTCAAAACTTTATCCATGAGTCAATACATACCGGTCAGAGCATCCTGAATGTCATAAGCGTAAGAATACTGTGGGTTTGGATCGTATTCCTCGACTGGAGCGGCAACTTTAGCTATTGCTGGAGCTACAGCGTACGAAGCGAGAGCTGGACGGGCAACAGCCAATGGAGCCGCTAGACCTAGTGGTCTGGCGTAAGCGTACGGAGAATACGGCGCTGGAACAGCTAATCCACCAGCCGCTCCTCTGCACACCGCCAGGAAAGCAGCTAAGATCAAGACCTAACCGTATAACAAACGACCATGTTAATCAATTTCATAACAAACAATAACAAAACAATTTAAATACTCTTTAATATTGAATTAGTGTTTCTATACCTATCCATACTTCACTACATAGTATATACAAAGTTGCTTTCTCTGTATCTATATCCCTATGTATGCTTAAATCTTGAAAACTACGCAACGGATTTTGATGCGGCTTTTTTAAATAAATAGAGTGATTGAAGAGGAAGGTTTATATGTTTAATAACATCCATTGAATAGTGGAGAAATCAATAATAAATTACAGTTTCCGAAGCGAAGCGAGGGCAGGTCGCTTTAAATTATAAAGCTGAAGAGTTTGTTTGTTTGAACGCGCTAATCTCAGGAACTACTGGTCCGGTTTGAAAAATTCTTTCAGTGTTAGATAACCCATTTATCGAGGAAGGCTATATAACATCACGCTAAGACCAATACAAGCGGAGCACCAATAAAGAATGTTTCAAAATCTATCTATATATGTTAAGGTTGGCTCACTATTACGTTTTTTATGCTAACCAAATTTGTTCTAAAATAAAGCATTATTTGTGAACTACGAGTATTCCACGCGGACGAAAGCTAGTATTATATATTTCGTGTAGTTGAAACGAATCAAAATTTCTCTTGAAAACTGAATAAGTGAATTTTAGAACGAACCCATTATAATACCCTTTTTACGTAAAATTATTCTACTAATCCTAGAACTTATTTCTCACTAATAAATGTAGAAGGAATCTTTCTTTCTAATTTATTATTATAAAGCACGATACTCAATTTCTTTATTTTCAGCTTTATTGAGGTAATTCAAAAATTATCAAACCGTATTATCCATTTATATTGATACTCATATAATTTTGGACACATTAAATATAATAATATAGTAAATTCCAAAAAGTACCTTCATGTTGTTTGAGTACCTGCGGTGGGCGCTCTTGATGTGAATGTCTAGGGTTAGACATACGAAGCTTATATACTCATGCACATGCAACTTGTATTACATTAATTCAGCTACTAAAACCCTAGATTTGTCATGGTCGGCCCTATACCCTTTATCAAACTGGTTCACAATACCTAGATCTACTTCAGATATTCATTGTCCGTCTGAACCATGAATCTAAGCTGTAATCGGATGTGCCAAGTTAACATACCATTCTTAGTAAATTAATGAATTCACTCCAGACGAAATAATTAATTTATGTAAATAGTTATTAATTTTAAACTTTTTTATTCTATTGCTAGTGATCAGGATATTAAGCTTTTTTTATTTATTGCTTTGATAGGTGGACGATCTCACAGCCCACCTGGTGTTAAGTGTTTACTGGAGCCCATAGACATCTACAACGTTAATGCGCCACCCGCCTTGAGATATAAGTTCTAAGGTCTCAAGTATAGTTACAACGGCTGCCCCACCCTTCAAACCAAAACGCATTACTGCTTCACGGTAGAAATAGGCAGAGCGGTGGTACCTACATGCGCGGACTTGCAAGAGATCCTACCACCAGTAATAAGCGATCTTCTAAATTATTGTATGCAAAATTTCAAGTAAATTGAACGTCTTGAATTCGATGAGAAAGACATTCCTAGATACCCTTACATACACGTTGCTAATAAAAGCGTGTTAAAAGTACATTATCTAATACTAATGCAACGTATAAAATAGTTTCTTATTCTACGAATCTTAGTAGCTGGAGCTCATTAGTATCAGTTGTGCCGATACCAATCGCAAAGTGTTATCTTCAAATCTAATTTTATTTTTTTAAATTGCCACAGTACTCTAGAAATACCCAGAAGGGGATTCAAAGGGTGGGACTTCAAAGTCATTCTACAGCCTGAGTCGAGTATAAGAATATATTTAAAACCTTAGAAAATATTTTTAACATTTTTTTTTTATTCCGGTGATTTTGACAAGGGTGCAGCAATTTTTTTTATTAACCTTATAGGCAGACGACGAGTATACGGCCAATCTAATGGTTACCGCCTCTCATGGACGTCAGTTGTTGTTGTTAGAGTTGAATATTCATTGCGAACAATTAGTAAATAGCGTGCGAGCCTACAGGGGGTTTGTTTATCCTACATTCAGAGTAAAGCGTTGCGCTCGGGCAGCTGCTAGCAAATCCCACCCCTCCTGGCTGAGCCTTTGCTCGCCCACCTGTCCTGGTGAAACTGGAAAGGCCTCCGGGCCACCAGTAATCCATCAAACAAAAAGTAAAGCGTTTCTGTTCGTATTGCGCATAATAATGGTCTATCTGACTATTCATCATCGCATATGAGTTTGCCACTCAGCCTGAGTGACTCAGGCCACCCCTAGCTACTACTACATCAGTTTCTTCCGCAGTGCCAGTAGGAACCTTGTCCCTCGATTTTTTTTTCCTAACAAAACCGATACTAACCATTCAGCTTGCCATGAATGGTGCATTGCTTTATTTGTTTCTATTTCTGTATCAATAAAGCTGTTGTCATGTAAAAGTGGAACTAATTGTACCAATTCAAGAGGCCTCTAGCTCGCACAATATTAGAACGCGACCGATGTCATCTCTTAACGTTTCGTGATTCTTAGTGCGAAGCCTGATTTACCTCCTAAGTTTCGTAAGTAGAGCACCAGTTCGGTGAGGTTGCACATGTACAACAAGACATTTAGTTTTTGGGTCACAGCTGCGCTCGTTATCAGCACACGTATGTGATAGTGGTCAGGCTACACTTGTCAGATAATAGCAACGCCTTATACGGTCACCGCAACTAATACGTGTCCAAACGAACTTTGATATATTATTTATAATTGAGCTAAATCTCGACCAGGCTAACTAGTAAATAGGATTTAACATAAATACGTTAAAGCCTTAATTTTTATATAGGTATTACATTAACATAAATATTTTAAAGACTATTTTATCCATTCTTAATCGAACTCAATGATTTTCGTGTCATTCTCATACCAAGAGATTTTCGATTATCTTCAAAAGTAAACGAGTTTACAGTTCATCTGGTCGTGAGTGAGTGATCACTCATGGAGCTTAGTGGCATCAAGTGCAGAGCTGCTTTCTTTAAATCTCATGTTAAGATGGAAAAGTCGTGTCTTTACGCAAGAGTCAAAGCTGGCGGTTTCCTGGTGTAGTGGTATCAAGCGATGCCTCTGTACTTACTTTTTAGAGATACTTATTTTTTCTAAGAAAATATGATCTTAAATATGGTATTCATGAAACAACGAAGGTATAACATTCATGGTAAAAATCAAACCCACAAAATATATAAAACATAATTGCTGGTGTGAAGACAAATTCGCTCGGGTACGTAACACAAACATACATAAAATATGTACCTTACTTATTAAAATACAATAAATTCAATTAAGTACTTCGACCTCGTGCTTAAAGGTGGATGGCATTCACTTTGTGTGTCTATGGGCCCCACCAAATACCCCAGGTTGGTGCCATGAGCTCACCCTCCAAACCATTAAAGAGGTCGAATTCGTTTCAATACCCAATACTACGAGGCATATTATTATACAGGTATGGTATCGGAGAATGAAAAACGATTTTAGGATTTGGTTTTTTTTCCGTTGTGTTCGTATTTATCAGACCATGATTTATATGTTAAATTCTACTTTTATGAAAACAAAACCTTAAGGCAAAATCTTGAAGTTTTCACATTGATATTTTTTTTCTTTGTCCTTCGCTGCTACCCTCGAGGGGCTATTTCGGCTTGTCCGGGTTGGTTCAGCTTCTCCGAGGCGAGCTCACAGTGCACGGCAAGGTCTGCACAGTTTAATTTAAAGTATAAACTGTATCAAATTATTACTTCTTGCTAGATTAATATTAATAACTGTCACTTGCAGTTTTTTCTCCTACCTATTAGCTGGTAGCCTAAGAACCAATTCCAGCTACGCACGCATAGCTAAACTACCTGGTGAGCTCAAGGGCTCATTCTGAGAGAATTTGCTAACACTAGCCTTAGAGTAAAGGTGGTAGAGCAGTGCTTCGCCGAATCTACCACCGGATCGGAATTGCGAATCACTGGGATGATTCAGTGAGAAACTCAGTGGGTTGGGTCTGGGTGTTAGGTTGCACGTCGAACTCTTGAATTAAATAGATCTTACCTGAGATAATTTTTATTTTTGTTTTAATGGGTCTTTCAATAGGTCTTTCAATAGATTTAGGTTTAATTGGACTCCACCGTGCTGCATTCAGATATAGCTACTTTTTATTTTCAAAAGGCGTTGTAGTCTTATCTTGTAGTCTTATACAAGGTAGGCTACCTTGTATAAAAGGTTATATGTATAGATATAAAGATTATGTTCGTGTACTAATTAATTTCATAGTTCAGGATCATCAAAACACAATCTGGTCGCCACTGACTTATTTAATAATATTAACTAAATTAATCAACAAAAAAAAACAAAATGTAAGTAATTAAATTACTAAAGCTACTGTAGGAAAAAAACTACCTTTTTAAATTTTTCAAATAGAAACATTATAGTTAAACCATAAATATAGTTGACCCTAGTTGACCCGGTAAACGTTGCTTTGCCGTATAAATTATTTCTAAGAAATATTTTTTTGGGTGAACCACCCTTAACATTTAGGTGTATGAAATATAGATGTTGACCGATTCTCAGACCTACCCGATATGCACACAAAATTTCATGAGAATCGGTTGAGCCATTTTGGAAGAGTTTGGCAACAAACACCGCGACACGAGAATTATATATATAGGTATTTGATAGATTTGACGAACAAACCACAATTCAATTGTTTTGATAAAAATACAATTCAAAGTATGTAATCAAATAACACATTTTCACGATGAACTTCAACGGTGTGATATTAAGATCGTGTGATAAATTTAAATCTCCAAAGCATAGGTGATTACTGTTGCTAGAGTTACGATCACACATCCACAGAAAACATGTACCTATCACAAACCCAAGTGTTTTTGCCGCAAATCAGGTATGCGTTTGAGCGGTAGGACAGCTATTACTATACTATTTTGATTTCATCACTGAAGCTGAGCGACGGCCGCGGGCCCAAGGATGTTTTAGGGCCCTAGGAACTGGAAGTTAGTAGCGGTAGTAGGTACGGTACTGGGACAGTATTCTCACCTATTTATTTATACAGGCAGACTAATTCTGATCTTTCGTAAGACAGGCAGGGAATTCTGTAATCTTGCATTTTCCCCTGCATATAATTACTACTAATTGTTGAGACACCACACTTATATATCAAAATATGCATCACCATATTACTTTTTATGGTATTCAGGCACCGCTTTACGCCAGTTAGGTCGTGAGCTCATCTCCCAAATTAAACCACCTAATGCATTAAAAATAAAAGGTTCATCATATTTCTTTTGTTCGTCAACACTAATACAGGTGGTAGGACCTCTTAAGAGTCCGCACGGGTAGGTACCACCACCCTGCCTATTTCTGCCGAGAAGTTTCGGTTTGAACGGTAAAGAAGCCGTTGTACCTTTACTTGAGACCTTAGTACTCATATCTCAAGGTAGGTGGCAGCATTTTAAGTGGTTAATGGATCCCATAGACATCTAAAACGTAAATGCGCCCAAGGGCGGATCCAGCTTTGGTGCCAGGAGGGGGTCACATAGTCATGGTCAAGTCAAGAACTTATAATTTAATTTTGATAACAATAGATACAAGTAAAAAGTAGGTATTTTATTAATGTACGTAAGTACTGTACTTAAAAATATTTATTCTTTATTGTACACTTGAAAAACTTAACACATAATAACTTGTACATATACACGTACANAAGTACTGTACTTAAAAATATTTATTCTTTATTGTACACTTGAAAAACTTAACACATAATAACTTGTACATATACACGTACATATTGTCATCTTCTCTTGAAGACATCCAGAGAAGCACTATCACGCCCGGAATGAGGCAGCTTATTTATATTCCATAACCGTGGTCCTAAAATCATTATGTTCAATATGTGGTCCACCTAGTTCCTGGAACCAGCTCGGGGGGGGGGGGGGTCATGACCCCCATGACCCCCCCTGGATCCGCCCTTGAATGCGTCACCCATCTTGAGATATAAGTTTTAAGATCTCAGTATAGTTACAACGGCTGCCCCACCCTTCAAACCGAAGCGCATTACTGCTTCACGGCAGAAATAGGCAGGGCGGTGGTACCTACCCGCGCGGACTCACAAGAGGTCCTACCACCAGTAATTACGCAAATTAGAATTTTGCGGGTTTCATTTTTATTACACGATGTTGTTCCTTCATCGTGGAAGTCAATCGTGAACATTTGTTGAGTACGTAATTCATTAGAAAATTGGTACCCGCCTGGGATTCGAACACCGGTGGATCGCTCAACACGAATGCACCGGACGTCTTATCCCTTAGGCCACGATGACTTCACTACGTTGTAGATGTTTATGGGCTCCGGTAACTACTTAACACCAAGTGAGCTGTAAGCTCGTCCACCCATACATGCAAAAAAAACAGCATATTATGCTTGTCAACCTAGGAAAACAAGAACACAACCAATTGAGTGTTTAATGTTGATGAAACTCCAATTTTGCTTTGTGACCACATTAAAACACGCAACCACTTACTAAAGCGGCGACAGTAAAAATGCGTGATTCTGCGCTGGTTTTTTTATGAAAATGTTAAACGTTTTTTGCCTACCTACCTATTGCTATTTTATAGTAACCACGAGGGGCTAAGCTAGTTTCACCGTGTGGTAAAACTTGTTCCATGCCTTTGATTTATATTTATTTAGCTACCATCTAGTGCCATCTTTCGTTGGAAAAGATAAACGATATACCTTCATTGATGGTGTAAATATCATGAAGTAAAAACTCCGAATATAGTACGTTTAGAGTGATTCGATTAGACATTTATCATCATTCCTACGGCGCGGTTAAAGGTTTCAGTCTCCACAATTTTCGATTTTCTGTCATTACAGAATAATCTTCCATAAAATATAATCTTTCATAATAATATAGAATTGAAGTAAAAAAACAAATGGTAAGAATGTCCTCATAACCTGAGCAGCACTCATTACCCAAGCGTCTAATTTCCACCATATTAAAACTCGTAAAAGCCATCGAAGCTAAGGTTCGTCGCCATTTTGTTTCCTTTCCCCCCTAGCACTAAAGGACGTTGGACTAGCTTTTCGGAGTCCGCCTAGGTGATGGCTGATGCCGTACACAGCCCCGAGTATTTAATTAATAACATACTAATTAGAAATAAAATTGCTTACAGCATCCTCTACAACTTTATTACAGTGTATAATATATAAGGTTTTGTTCATATTCTACATTTAATCAATGTTTCTTTTTGGTAATTTTGATGAATATAAATTAGGATTTCACAATAATTAATTACGTAATCGGTTTTACAATATTTTTGATTTCGTTCATGTTATTTTCTACTATAGAATAGCAGACAATATAACAAATAAGAGGCAACACTAGACAAATCTGTTTATAAAGCAAATGTCAAACATATACACACTTACTATTACTATGTATTCCTTTTTTCTTTTTGCTTAGAAGTTTAATATCCAACAAACAGTGCTTTGTTATGTGTTTATAATAGACGTTATAGACTTATAGTTAGTAAGTAAAATGGCAGATTTTGATGCTATTTATCCAGATGATCTCGATGACGGTGAAGAAAATATAGAGGAGATGCATGTGACATTAGTGCCAGATCCGATAGTTGTTCGTGGAGCTGGAAATATGACAGTGTAAGATTTCATTTTTATACTTACTGTATGAATTTCATCAGCTGTTTTCGTACAACTTCAACTTACTAGCCTATATCGTCCGTAATTTCTAGTTCCCTAGGTATGTTTTCTTTTGTTATCCTTTATAAAACGCCATTGAAATGAGTTTTTTCTTCTATATTTTGACCATAAGCCAATTTTTAAAACATTGACAATATGTCATTGCAATTCAACATAAGTTTTTCACAGTATTCTAATTAATGATCTGATAAAGAGAAACAAATTCACTGTACTGAATTATTATTTATTCATAAATAACAAAGAAACTGTTAGATTTCATTTTGCTTTGTTGTCCTAATTAAATCAAATTAATGAAGAACACGCTACAGTAATTCCAACATTAAATTCATTATCTTAATCAGGATAATACTTTATAATGCAAAAACCTAATTAATAAATGAATTATTAAATTGTTTCTTATTATTTTGTTTCTTAAATTCAAAAGACATGATTGGTATTAACAATTTAATATACTCAATAATTCTTACCACAAACTCCTTATTAAGGAAAATATCTGCACCTTTATCTTTACAAATTTAATGTATACTGCAGCATATTAATAGCTATTATAAACACAAAGATAAGATTAACACATAATTAAATATAACTGTGTCAGTAATAATATTTATGAAAACTTAGCTTCATTATTTATATATTTTTATCCTGTCTAGCTTATAGCTCAAACGGTTGGTTTTGGATGCTATAATGGTATATGCCTTATAGTAAATAGTTTGTAGGTCTTCTTTGAAACAGTGCAGAGACTGCAGACAAAGTGTTTTTAAATCATGTTTGTTGGAAAGAATTTTTCTTATATTTAATTAGACCTGACCATTATATTTCTCTATTTAAATGAAATAGTAGAATACTATATGCCATTTTATTTAGATACAATTTAAACTACAATATGCTACAACAATGCATCACTTTTTTTTTTTCACATGCCCCTTTGATTCTTTTATTTACCTTGCTCTGGCTAGGCTGGCTTAACAAATTCATGCCCATCTATACTAGTATTGTAAAGAGGAAAGATTTGTTTGTTTGTTTGTATTGTATTGATTAGGCCCTGAAACTACTGAACCGATTTGAAAAATTATTTTACTGTTTGGAAGCTACACTATTCCCGAGTGACATAGACTATAATATTTTTTTAAAAGCATTAAGGATCCTTACTAATACTCCAATAACCCAATAACCCAAAGTGTAAAAAAAATACCTAAAATATTCTTTACATCGCGAGCCCTGCGAAAACTATTGATGATAGAATAAAATAATGTACTACGACTTTGTAGAACATATTATTACTTACAAAAAGTGTCGCGAAAGCATATATCTAACTATTATAGTTATGCCGCAATAAGTTTTCTTTTATTTAAAAAAATAAAACAACGTCAAATATCATTGAAATTTTTGTTAAAGACCCCGAACGGAGCCGGAGCAGGCCGCTATCATCATCATGCTTTCCTATTACCCTCTGCTGGGGTGTAGGGCTCGAATCAAATTTTTCCATTTATATCGGTCTTGGGCAGTCTGTTCTAGCTCCTCCCACGTCATGCCCAAGACCCCTAGCTCCTGCTCCACCGAGCGACGCCAAGTTGCAGGCCGCTATAACAAATATATTTCCTTTGTTTCAGCTTTGGATTAAGTAATCGCTTCAATGGAGAATTTCCTTCTGGTCTTCAATCACGTGTTGCTCCTGAAGAATACCAAGCAACCATAGCTCGTATTAACACAGTTCTCAAGAAGACATTACCTGTAAATGTGAAGTGGTTATTCTGCGGATGTGTCTGTTGTTGCTGCACATTAGGATGCTCTCTATGGCCCGTCATATGTCTTAGTAAAAGGGTACTTACTTTCTTTATTTCTAAGTTCTAAGTGAAAAACGAATATTTGACAACTGTGTAATTTTCATTTAAATGTGATACTGAACATTTGATATTCTGAAAAGGGTATTGTGATATTAACTGATGCTCACCTCAGATACCATCGCCTTCGAAACAATAAAATTAATTGGAGGTTGAGATCAAAGAGGCAAAATTGTTTATTCAAGTGCTTAAAGTTCCTTTGGCATCAATAAGAATGTTTCCCTATTGTGTATCGTTTTTATTAATACATTTTCTTTCTGATTAAATTTATGCATCAAACCTTGATCAATGGATTCATATGACATCAAAGCCTTTTTCATAAGTTTCATTTCACTCTGTGAGCCTCTATAATTTAAGCACAATGTTATTAGTCAAAAGGGTCAATTTGTTAATATAAAGTAGTCTTATCCTATCGGATACGACGGCCGGTGTAGGTACTCGTATCAAACGACGCGACCGATGTTCGAATCCCGCATGCTAGTACCAATTATTCTAATGAGATAATACGTACTTAATGTCATGCAGCAAATGCAACGACGAAAACAACATGTTCACGAATAACATCCTGGATGAAAGAAAAACACCGTCCAATAAAAATCAAATTTTCTTAACTAAACTAGTTTTATAAGCTCACATAATATATAGGTAGGTATCACTGCCCTGCCTATTTTATTTTATTTTTTTATTGATTAGATGTGTGGACGAGCTCACAGCCCACCTGGTGTTAAGTGGTTACTGGAGCCAATAGACATCTGCAACGTAAATGCGCCACACACCTTGAGATATAGTTCTAAGGTCTCAGTATAGTCACAACGGCTGCCCCACCCTTCAAACCAAAACGCATTACTGCTTCACGGCAGAAATAGGCGGAGCGGTGGTACCTACCCGTGCGGACTCACAAGAGGTCCTACCACCAGTTATTTCTGCCACAAAGGAGTAATGCGTTAAGGCTCGAAGAGTGGGACAGCCGCTATACTGTATCGAAGGGTGAAAGGCCATTTGGTTTAACCGACATTTCGGTAAATACGCGCCGTTTATCTTTGTAATGAAAGGTCCGTTTTATTTGGTATTAATAATAACAATTCGATGGTTTTAATTGAACTTCAAATATGTTTACCCCACTCAAATAATTGATGAAGGTTTTTTGTCATATTTTTTCCAAAATTTTAAACTTTAAATGGTTTTCACCCCTCGATATACAATTAAGATAATCCTAATGTCTCAAGGTTGTTGGCCCCATTCGCTTCATGATGTCTATGGTTTGTGGTAAAAACTTAATACCAGATGGATCCTGATCTCGTTTGCATATCTATAACAGAACAACTTCAAATAGTTAATAATGTCTGTAATATATAAGATTAGAATGTTTAATGAACTTTATTGTAATTATTCCAGACTCAGCATTCTCTGAACAAGCTCCTGGAATGGGAGAACAGTCGTCTTTATAATAAGCTAGGACTTCGCTGGAGACTCACAAAACAGCATTGCGATTCTTCTTCTATGATGGAGTATGTACTTCTTATAGAATTTATACCCAAAATACCAATTTACAGGCCTGATTAAATTACTGTTTGTACTTACTAATTAATTTTAAAACTATCCTAATTAGTTTTACGCCATTCATAACGTCGAACGTCTGCATTGCATAGGAATAAAACCTTTGTTAGCAAAAGCATATTAGCTACTTTTGAATAACATTTTAAAGTAGATTTTGTGTTTAGTCTCCTATAAGTTTTACGAAACCGTGAATTGGTCAAACATTGTAAACTTTATGTTTTAAGTTACCGGCCGAATTGATTAATGTACATTGTATATAAGTAGGTGGAACAAAATATGGACAAATAAATATTGTTATATGGTATTTGTCGTATAATCAGCGCTGTAATAAATTTGCAAGGTCGGTTTGTGAATCAAATAATTAGAAACTTGTAAATATTTAGTAAAAAAAAAGCTTGGTGAGGCCCTTCTTAGTCATGTTGGAGAGTTTCTCTTAGTACATAGTGTGTGTTAAAATACAATAATTACAATATATTTTTGTAAAACGTAGAGAATTCGGTCATATGTCCGACTGTCTTACATACAACATAATCGATTTAAGATTAAATTAATAATTCTATCTAAACATTACTTCAGATATGTTTACATCTGAAAGTTTATGTTATGTATTCACTTAACTAATTAAAAGTTTCAATTAATTTTTTACTATTGAAAGTAATCATTTTGCTCATAAACAATATATCAAGAGTGTAAGAAATTATCCTTAGTAGAAAACTTATCTCAATCGCGTCTTCTTTTAAGACGAGTTTAGAGCTGCATATTTCTTCACGAGTTTTTATTAGTTTCGTTTTGCGTCCAAGAGAATTTACCGCCACGTGCCACACAACCTTGAACATGTTTTTTTTTTTTTTTTACCAAATGTCACTAAGGTTTCTTAATTCAAGAGTTAAAATTTTACACTAACTCTAATGTTCTTGCGGTTGTAATTGTTACGTGTAATTTGTTTTTCGCTGTTTCGAATGCGTTTTCATTATTTTAAGGTCATAGCGTTCGTCATTCTCTCAATTCATTTTAATCATTTTTATTGTCGACGCGCCGGCGTCTAATTTAGTGTTGTAGCCTACGCAGCTCTCACAATAAGACTATGTTTACGTTTCGGGGAAATTGAGCACTGTTAGCCCAAATATATATGTATATATTTTTTTTATTGCGTAATAGTCACGGCAATATCTCAAAAATAACATTTTACAAACTTGCAACTAGGTTCGTCTCACTATCAATTTTGTTTTATTCCAAATCCAAACAAACGCTAAGAAATGTCTTTCTAGATTTACTGTGATTTTGTAATATCAGCTCCGTAATCGAGTGCATTGTACCTGAATGTTGATGTTTGAGATAATGGGTTGAAAGCCACGAGCGAGAACGTCGCTAAGCTAATCCTTAAAACGTTTGGAACTGTGTTATTAGACAATTAGCTTTTAATGTTTTTTTTTTTATTATGGCGCATCCAGGTTCATTGCGAGAAGTGTTGTCACGTGACGCGGACGATCCATTTACATACAAAACATAGTAAAAATAACATCACTACATAGTATAAAACAAAGTCCGCTTTCTCTGTCCCTATATCCATATGTATGCTTAAATCTTTAAAACTACGCAACGGATTTTGATGCGGTTTTTTTAATAGATAGATTGATTGAAGAGGAAGGTTTATATGTATAATAACATCCATTAAATAGTGGAGAAATCAATAATAAATTACAGTTTCCGAAGCGAAGCGAGGGCGGGTCGCTATTATTCTATATTTAATTAACGATGTTTCCGCGGCAGAAATAGGTCTGTTACCGTCCATTCGATCATCCAGCAAGGAGGACGGTCTTACTGACCGGGCTCTAATTTACATTCTGGTTTCTAACTTGACAGTGCAGCAATATTATTACTGTGTAAATCTACGAGTGCCATACGCTCCTATTTTCTCGTCCTAGTAGTCCTTTGAAGCGAGAACAAAAACGATTCTTTTTAAAACATCCTAGGGTCTTCACTTAATGAAAGTGGATGCGCCTTTACGTTGTTCGAGAGTATATCTCGCCCTACTTTCTCTTTTCAACATGTTGTGAATGAGGAATTTGAACACGGCGACAACACCCCAACAACCAACCAACATATCGACTTACGTGTCGTTGTAATGACAAAATCATAAAAAAATGAAGTTTGCTCCGAACGTCTTGCCACTTTCTCTTTAATTTTTGTACTGTTATCGAACGCAACGGTTGAAAAGCGAACAGGGTACGTTGACATTAAGTTGTAATTAAATAAGGAATTGTAAATATTTTAAGTACCTATAGATTATTATTTTTGTTCAAATAAAGTTTCACTGTATGTGATGAACGTTATCTTACTGTTCTCTCTTATTGTACCATAGATACAATACTTCCCTTTTTCCACTATCCATTTTGTTTATACTTCATAGATAAATCTAAAAACAATGAAAACTCCTTTTAGCAGACCAGCGCTGAAGAAACAACAAAATGCATAATTAAATTTGTTTTTAATTTGTTATTGAATACAATTAATAGATTCATCATATATACACATAGTTACGTAACATACATTAAAGGCACTTATATTATGGTCCCTCCAACAATAAAAAAAAATACTTAAAATAATACAGTACAATAAAATCTTTGCATTTATAAAATTGACTAAGAAATTCAATACCATCCATACATTTCATTGACAATATAATAGTTTATTTAAAAAAAAAATGATTTCCTCTTGTCAAATCTTGTGTGTATTGAAATGTTTATTATTTTTTGCCCTATTGATTTTTTTTTGTATAATCGAACTCCACATTGCTTATATAGACCGACGATGCTCTAACTACGAGAGAACCAAGAGGTCACTGTTACATAATAATATAATTATACGATATATATTAAAGATTAACATATTCTTGCACTGCACAGCAGAGGACTTGATATATCGCACCTTTAGAATTATAGGGACCCAATCCAAAACGTAAAGGAAGGGGACGGAGTGAAAGAGACCGATGGATATGTTTGTCCCTTTATAGGCTACTTTTGCTCATTTGATTAATAAGAGTCGCTGAAAAGGGTTGTTTCTAGATCCATTTTTGAATTAAAGTTGAAATCCAAAAATTTCGAAGTGGGCCTCTATAATTCTAAAGGTGCGATTTATTGGGGATCAATAATTAAATATGTAAGGGTCCTAGAGGGGGGGAGGAGTTATATATGGAGGTAAGAGGATAATTATAAAAAGGCAAGTGCAATTAAAAAGGTAATTGGCAAAGGCCAATTACGCGCACCATTAAACACTAGTGAAACGGTGCCACCATTTTAGCTGACACTATAATATTTAATTTGGTATATTATTTTCGTTATCAATTTAATAATGAAACACCATATAATTTACAATCCAAACAGTTTCGCATCATCTCGTGCAAGCTCACAACACGCCCTGCCACCACGAGTTCAATAAAACGTATTAATGTTTGGAAGCCTATAATTTATAATCTAACCCCGCTGTATTTAACCACCTAATCATATATTTTAAAGCAATAAATCTCTTCTTTTTTTTCAAATTTTCGCTGTGACGGCAGCTTTTACAAAAACTATGAGAAATGTGGATAATGTCTCAAGAGATTGTGTTAGTAACCTTTTAATCGTAAGAAATAGAAGCTTGCTGAGCTTTATTTAAAATATCCCAAAATTTATAAATATTAAGTGAATAAAATGAGTGTTTCGATAAGACCGGTGAAAACCTATAAAAAATTACAGTAAAACCGCTCCTTATCTTGATTAAAAACAAAACTATCAAAATATATAATATTAAGTATCAACTTATTTTGATAACGTAGGCACAAACATGATTCATAAATTATTATCAGCATTAAAAGATAACATTGCACCTGTAATAAACAATTTTACATAAATAACAATACTTTGGACAAAATAAACAACTAATTATTGTTACATCATATAAAATTTAAACTACAATACGTTCAACATTTTGTTAAACAAAATTAATCAGAAATCACTACTTTTATTTCATATATGCCCACAAAACGATAAGCAGGTTATAGTTAATAATAATCAGATCGTATTTCGGTTTAGATTTAAAAGAAAATCAGGCACAACCAAATTAATAATTGTTTTTGTAAACTATGAACGTTTTTTTTTTCAAGTCCACATTTATGTATCTACAACCGTTCGATTGCCATTCACCCTTCATTGCTTTTTATTTAGACAGGGTCAATTTCATTAACAAGCTAATGAAGTAAATTAGCACACACTTACGTTATTATGGCAACATTGTAAAGTTGTACAAGTTAAAAAATGGCTTCATAAAATAAAATTCATAACTCACTGAACGAAAGAGGACTGCATATCTCTTATTGCGTTGTAAAGTATTCGTTTTGTGTAAACTAGACCTTAATATCATGTACATATCGACGCTTGTAAGGCAAACGTGACTAAGCGACAATGCGTGAACTTTACAGTAAACTAATTTAAAGTTGAAATACCTGAAAACAAAAATTATTTTAACGAATCTGCCTGTAGTAGAATCTAGCTAGTAGCTGTAGGATTGAAATGATTTTAATAGACCTAGAAATTTTATTTTTTTGCGCATCGAATATGATTATTGCCTATCATTTATGTACAAAGCAGTTATTGTCGCTTAGTCACGTTTGCCTTTCAAGCGTCGATATGTTTTAAAAAAACAACGGTCCAGTCTAGTGAAATATCACAAACCTCTAGGGAATATATAAATCACAATCACACAGATCACAACAACAGTTGTCCCTTAGTTAACTCATTTGGACATAGTTAACGGGGAACTGCCCTTTCTTTCCGTTACATTCGCCATAGTACCATTCGTCGTTGAGTTTTTCGAGTACTGTTATACTATCTCCTGGCACGAAGGGTAAATCCCCAAACTCGTTGGATTCGAAGTTGTACAAAGCTATTGCAGTTCCAATCGAAGGTCTCAGAGAAGCAGCGTCGTTTGGAAGAGGTACCTTGATCTCCACGTAGTTCGAGGGAAAGATGCCTTCGACTCCGCTTTTTAATTGTCCAAACAACCATTCGTGGTCCACTCGCCTTATCAACTTGATTCTGGTGTTGGCCTGTAAATTGAGGGCAAAGCAATTTCAGTACATTAATTGGAATGATTATCATAATAATTGTACGCATAAATGGTAATTTCCAGAACGCATTAAAATAAATTGGTCATGTACCTGCATACAGTGAGCACAATTGCCGTAAACGAAACAAATTCATTAACTAGATTGTTTCTAAATAATGTTTTTTATACGTATGTGTAAACTTTGCTTTATTAAAAAAACATCCTAAATCTTCATATTATGTTATCTCTTTGCACTCGAGATGTGTTTTTTTATTTTTTATTGCTTACATGTATGGACCAGCTCACAGCCCACTTGATGTTACTGATTACTGGCGCCCATAGACATCTACAACGTAAATGCGCCACCCATCTTGAGATATAAGTTCTAAGGTCTCAAGTATAGTTACAACGGCTGCCCCACTCTTCAAACCGAAACGCATTACTGCTTCACGGCAGAAATAAACAGGGTGGTGGTACCTACCCGCGCGGACTCACAAGAGGTCCTATCACCAGTCTCGCTTACAACATAATTTTATAACAAAATGACAAAAATAACGATATCAGAAATATAAAAAAGATATCAATCACCAAACAAAGAAACATAATATACTTTACACAGCGCATTGAATTCGCGCACCAAAACAAGTAGTGAGCGAAACTCCTTCGAATGCAAACGGTTAAGTTTATTTATATAAAATAGGAATAGGACTTAACAAATTACTAAGTATAGAAATATCACCAAAGTCGTATTTATAATTTTTACTGTTTTTTTTCCCCTACTTGGTACCTTCTACCTGGTAGTCCCATAAGCTACTTTCGCTGGTAGCTTATGGGACTATTCCTGCGACGCCCAGGCTGTAAATGAGCAGACAGAGTTCACGGTCTAGTGTTAAGTTGTTGCCGAATGCATTAGACTTCACGGAATGAATGTCCACTATCACAGCTTGAGATGTAAGGGTGAAATCTCATTAATATTGTATCTAAATGGCTAATCTACCCCACAAAACAATATTTCTTTAAATTATTGCTTAGATGGGTGGACGAGCTCACAGCCCACCTGTTACTGGAGTTACTGGAGTGGTTACTGGAGCCCATAGATATCTACAACGTAAATGCGCCACCCACCTTGAGATATAAGTTCTAAGGTCGCAAGTATAGTTAAAACGGCTGCCCTACCCTTCAAACCGAAACGCATTACTGCTGGCGGTGGTACCTACCCGCGCGGACTCACAAGAGGTCCTACCACCAGTAAATGCAGAAATGCTTCTCAGTGGAAACAGACGGAACCAGTATATTTTTTAGTTTATGCGTATAAATAAATAGCCTATTTAAATAATAGCATTTGAAAACAAAGAAATTTCGATTTCACAATAATAAACCATAAAATTGAGTTTGATAAATGCAATAAAATTAACGCAACATTAATCGTCCACATGAGGTGGAAGTGCTGATAACCAGTTCCTGTGATAGTAGCTGATAACAAAATAATAATAAACAGTTCAGAACGCTACGTCGCGTCGCCGGCGCCGCCCACATTCGTGGAACAAAAATACAACTCTAGAAATATTGGAACGCCCCAAACAACGTACGTCATTAAAAGCCATCTGGAGTTTTGCAAACATCGCGTTTTCTACGCAAAAGGGGGCCGGCGTGTTATGTATCTATTTGTTTTAATGATGATCTTTGGATCCCAAAGCCAGGAATTTCCATATAGAAATAATTCACTTGAATGTTTTCGTCGTGTAAATATGAACATCCTATAAAGATGATTTTGTTTGATGATGAAGAAATATAATTTTATTAATATATAAAAAATATCCATAGCTAGCTAGCATAGAATATTTATGCGATTTAAAAAGAATCACATATGTATTATTCAACAAAACACGTATTATTATAATCTTTCCTGTGTTTTTTTTTTGCTATTTCAGTTTTTCTCGCCGTCTCGTCAAAACTTACAAATTACTTTTAACATTTGAGTGATCTTCACGGTCTTTTATCCGGTTTCGGAATAGCAACAATCTGATGAATAGACGTTTACTATGATAAACTAGGCTATTAGATTTCCTAATTAGATATTCATTACGAAATAATCTAAGTTCTACAAAAAATATTATTTCAGCTATAGTAACATTGTAGCTTAGTAATTATAAACGTCATGTTCGTGTTTTATTATGTAAATATTGTTTGTATTTAAATTTCGATTGAGTCATATTTCAAATTGAGATTTAAAGAAAAAATTGTATAGTTATGTCTATATTATACTGGTAACATAATATGACATTATAAAGTCATAAGCCACAGAGAGGGGGGGGGGGCAAACAAGTTTTCATTGTCAGCACAGCCGTCGAACACTTAAATGCGCGCTACCTCGAAATACTTAGATTTTGTTTCTCGAACAAAATTTTCAATTTCGTGCGAAGTATTCTTAGCAGATATGGAATACTTGGAACACTTGGTATTCCAGAATTTTAAGCATTAAAATCTAAAAGGCACCAGACATTTTAGCAACCCTCCTTTCGTGGCCGCCACCAAAGGCGCAAAGCCACCGTCGCTCTAAGCATGTCCTATTTTATTCTTACGTCTACCTAATCATAGAATACGCCTAATCGGATTCTCCTGATCCACTCTCGGTGCTTTTAGGCACTTCAAGCGCCGGTCACCGTTCTCGTCAAACTTGTCCAATGCGACGAATTCGATTTACAACCTATCCCATAGAGCAACCCACTGAGTTTATCGTCAATCTTAAAATTTGGTCACGATTCCGATCCGGTGGTAGATTCAGTGAAGCACTACTCTTGCTAGGGCAGATGTTAGCAGCCTCTCAGGTTGAGCCCCGTGAGCTCAACTACTAGTCCGCTCGTAGTTGAAATAACCCCTTAGGCGACCAACGATTAGGAAAGAAAAAATCTAGGTAAATAGCCACTGAAACACCAACCCTAAAACCGTTTGAGCCACCTGAACCAACCGTAGATAATCAAAATAATGCTGAAGATACTGATGTGGCAGTTTTTGAGCTATTAATATCAAATAAATAAACCGGTCAGCAATTAGCGCACGAAACTACGTTAAAAGGTGTCGAAGCAAAAATATGAATTCATGAGGTATTCGGTTCTACAATTTCAATTTGAACAAACTAACTGGTAATTTGCAAATTAGAAAAAACGTTAAGTCGAAAACTGTTAACTCTAAATTTTTTTAATTTCCCTTGAAATTTGATATTCCATTGCATTTAAATTGTAAGTACAGTTTGTTGAATAACAACAGACCGGATTAATTCAGTCTGTTGTTATTATTAGAAACTCGTTTTGACTATTACGGAAATTTTAATACTACTAATAAATCTCTGATTCGAAAATGTAGCGAGCATATATCAGCTACCTCTAAACAGTAAAAGCCGGGTATATATTCCGTAAATATGCCGCGAATACAGAAACCGTGAAATGGAAAAGCGCGTTTACAAAGGATAATCGGTTGAATACGTATTATTTTGATTTATGAAATATTCAAATATAAAAGATATTGGAATCCTTTTTATCAATGTGTATGTACCGATTAGATCCGCGAATATACTGGTGATAGGACCTCTTGTGAGTCCGCGCGGGTAGGTACCACCACCCTGTCTATTTCTGACGTGAAGCAGTAATGCGTTTCGGGTTGAAGGGAAGGGCAGCCGTTGTAAGTATACTTGAGACCTCAGAACTTATATCTCAAGGTGGGTGGCACGTTTACGTTGTAGATGTCTATGGGCTCCAGTAACCACTTAACACCAGGTGGGCTGTGAGCTCGTCCACCCATCTAAGCAGTAAAAAAAAAAATTGGATCGCATTTTTAAATCCACGAATAGTCGAAAAAGCGAATGAAGGAAGCGCGATTAGGGGAGATCTTACGTATGTGCAAACTTTTAGGGAAAATCTGATCCAAAGAAGATGTCCAAAAGAGGCCATAGTTATAGAGGACCCGACGATGATTGCGGGCTCACACAGTAACAACTTCATAAAACATACGAATATGACCCATAGACACAGCCCACTGAGTTTCTCGCCGGATCTTCTCAGTGGGTCGCGTTTCCGATCCGGTGGTAGATTCTGCGAAACTATGCTCTTGCTAGGGTCAGTGTTAGCATCACTCCGGTTTAAGCCCCGTGAGCTCACCTACTAGCTAAGGTTACGCTGTAATAGCCTATCAAGGTTATCAGCTTAGGTAGGAAAAAAAAACAAATATGATATTTAGTTCGTGTTGATGTAATAATTAGTGGACCGTTTTGCGTTCGAATATACTTCTAACGCTTTGCATAACGTTACGTCACTGTCAAATTTATTTTTTTATAATTTAAGAGTACCATATAAAAACAATTAAGTTTCTCGGTAACGGAGTAAGTAGCACTCCTGACTTTCTAACATTCGTTTCTTTCCTCTATGTATGGGTGTTTATCATATTTATATATTTTTTAAAAATGGACTTCTTTAAAGTTCCGTATGTCAGTGTCTAGTATTCATAGCACAGGGTATCCTAGGTCGAAGCCAGATGACTGTGTGTTATCTGTACCTAATTACTTATTTATCTTATTTAAGTACCTAAATCTAGGTCTGAAATGTAGTACACAATTTCAAATGAACTAATGCATTTTTAGCAGAGAATGGTATCAAATCTATTTTAGAATACGACCCAAGGTAGTATTTATAGCTGGATGAGATCACAATAAATTCTCTGACCCACTTGGACAGTTCTTAGGTGAAGAAAAAATAATTAAAATAGTTCAAGTGGTTTAAAATCGAGTTTAAAATTCAAGTTAATTATGGAAATGTGTGGAAGCCGATCATTAAAACATTTTATCATGGGTAAAAAAGAATACTTAAATATTGCAGAAATACATGTCAAATATTTTCTACGTAATAATGACTTAATATGATGAAAGCTGAATGAACCTTCTAGCATAAAGCAACTAAAAAAAGTTTTACTTTTGTCATGAACTTCATTATTAGTATTAATATTTTATTAATCGTTTATGTACCAATAATAATTATATTTCACGTACTATTTGTTTAGAAAATTTCACAACTTTCAAGTAAAGTAGACAACACTAATGTAATAAACATACTATTGAAGAAATGGCCTTAAACTTCATGACACGTGAGAATTTTCTACACAATGGAAGTACATATATAAATAGATCATTGCTTTGGCTTCAAGCCATGTGACGATAATGAAAAAAAAACTTGAAAAATAGCAATATTTTCACTCTTTCTATAACAAAAATTTAGATTAAAAACACTTACTGAAAAACACAAGTCGTCTGGGTGATCAGTGTAGTAGTCAAAGAGAGCAATTGCATATGGATCGTCTTCTGAAATTAGCTCTTCAAAATTCATGGAGTCAGTCCAAGGTGTGGGTTCATCAGATAGCAAAGGTGGTGGAGGCGGAGGTATTGTGGGCATTGGTGGAGACCCTTCTCTATCCTCACTCTCAACATCATTTTCTTCCCAATTCAATTTTGTATCCTTAAATAAAATAAAATACATTACAAAGTTAATTGAAAACTTAACCTAGCTAGTTTACTACATTGTTTTAACTATTTCATGTATTTTGCATTAATATTTATTCAAAATAAACCAAATCGTCAATTTGTGTATATTGATAAATTTTCCCTTTACTTAGTACAATGGGTTCCATTTACAAGCAATCAATTGTAGTAATTGTAGAAAAAATCTTTTTTACGGCACTAAGAGTAGTCACAATATTTATTCTGGACACTGTCTATGATGAAGAATTTTTTTTATGGATGTTGAATGATTACCGTTCCTCATGGACGTCGCAATGTCAGGGGCAGAGCCAAGCCACTGCCTACCGAAAGTTAGTAGTCTGAATTTTATCATTAATATCAATTCCATTCCATCACTGGTGGTAGGACGTCTTGTGAGTCTGCGCGGGTGGGTACCACCACCCTGCCTATTTCTGCCGTGAAGCAGTAATGCGTTTCGGTTTGAAGGGTGGGGTAGCCGTTGTAACTATACTTGAGACCTTAGAACTTATATCTCAAGGTGGGTAGCGAATTTACGTTGTGGATGTCTATGGGCTCCAGTAACCACTTAGCACCAGGTGGGCTGTGAGCTCGTTCACCCATCTAAGCAATACAAAAAAACATATTTTATGGATGGAAAAATGTTTCCTAATAGGACAATATTCATTTAAACATTTAAAGATAATATTGTTTTTTTTTCTCCTATCTTGAAAATTTAAATATATAATATATAGAAATATGCTGTTATAACTTAATTCGGTCAAAACTAGCAATGGGTTCTCTTTGTCAATGTGATTAAGATTTACAAAAATAATTTGATTCTAATTATGATAAAATGACAGCAAATTGATTTGATCTTTGTTAATTGCATTTACGTGTCGAGATTTTTAACATGTTTTAATAGGTAATGTTCTTTAGCTTTGATTATAATTGAAAATTTTAATATTTTTTTTTACATATTATGTTATATTGATTTTCATTTTATGTTTTATTCAAGCACTACACATATGTGGTGATACAAACAATGAATGTCATAAAAAAAAATAACACAAGGCTACTTACATAATTATCTGAATATTGGTTCACTTTTTGTAGAGGTTTTGTCATGTTAACATTCATTTTGGTGACAGAGAAGTTGTCGCCTAAACTATTCTTCAATAGTACTACATTGTCTGGTGGTTTAGGCCTGGCGGGCTTTGCTCTGATAATTGTTGGACCTTTCAATGAAGGAGCTTGGGCATGTAGATTAATACTTGTTAAATCAAATGGATCTTTCATTAACATTGGTTTTTTCATTATTAGTGGTTTAGCTGGTTGAGGTGAAAAAGGATCAATCACAGTCATATCATCGACTGTATCATTCTTCCTTGTGTTCATAAATAGATCAAAATCATCTTCAAAACCACTTTCGGCTTGTGAGGAGTTTCCGTTGAGAGCATTTTGATGACTAGTGGATGTTGTAGCATCGGAACCAAAGCTGTCCACACTTAAACCATCGCTGCTAGACCTTGTAGTAAATGTAGGAGAACTGGGTGGTGAAGATAGGTCGATCAAAGCACCAGTCTGTATATTCTTTGGTTCACATTTTGGAAACATTTTATTTGAATCCAATTCACATTCAAAGTCAGATACTATGCCCTGTAGCTTAATATTTTGATTGTTAACTGGTCTATTTTTACGGGATAGTAAAGATGAAAGCACATTTGGTTTTCTAATAAAATGGGAAGGTTTAGCTGGAATATCAGGTTGTTTGTTTATTACTCTGGGTGGTGGTGGTCTTGGGGGAGGCTTTTTCTTCTGGACATGTGGAGTAGGTTCAAACACATCACCAAACGGATCATTATCCCAATTAGTAGTTGGACAGTAGCGGTGCACTCCATTCACAGGCACGTTAGGGGCAGGTCTAGTAGGGCCCTTCATCCCTGGAAAAATACTGATGTTTGATTTCAAAGCTCACTTCCTTATGAGCTACACAGATTTCTGTTGTCTATTTTATCAAAAAATTCTAATCACTTATTAAAATACATCCAAAATCCTCAATATATTTATGAGTTTATGTAGCTCACAAGATTAATTATTCAGACCAACTAAAGCGGTGTCTTGTTTTCGAAATAGTTATTTTTAATATTTAATTCTATTCACTACACTCGCGGCAAACACTCAACTCATCAAAGTGAACATTTCGATTGAAGTCAATAGTCCGATTGGGCGGAACTGCAGTTTGTGGAGCACCTTAAATTGATTGTTTACTAAAATAACGTTAAACTCCCAAGCAGCCAATGTAATATATGATGGTGAATCTAGAACGAATTTGATTTTGCAAATTTCAATGACTACAACAGTACCTGGCACTAAGAACTACGGCCTTGATATTTCGACGTAATTGCAAGGAAGGGTTAATAACTGATTATGATTAATGTCATCTCCGTTTTCAAAGTTTAAAGCTACACAAAAACCTTTAATACACAAATGTACTTGTTTTGTCTAAAAGAGAGTTCGGATGAAGTTATAAACATAGGTACCTTGTCCAAAGTGATCCATTATTGAATTAAAATAACGATATAACGCAGCAGAAGCTATTTGAATAATTAATTGATGAATAATATTGTGAAGTCGTACATATGTGTATTATCTGTGGTGGTCATATGTAACAATGATCAATGAATATGTTATCTGTGGTAACAACTAGAGTAGGATAGATTGGTGTTTACATAGACCTATATAGTAGGGACACGACATATTGTTCTATACCGGTAAAATGGGGCGATTAGGGATTGACAGGCGAATCGGGAAAAAACCGGGAAAGTCTTTCGACGCTCAATATAAGTTTTATATTTGTTGCAAAATCTTCCATTTTTTGTAGTTTAATAATAGAATGTTGAAAGTTCACAAAACAACTCTGAATATGCATGATAATAGCTGCTAACTTATAAAAAATCGCGTTTCAAATTAACTTCCTGTGGTGGTCATTATTTTAGTGCTAGAATCTTTGCTCTCTTTTATTTATTTGATAATAATAGAAGACGACTATGATTTATAAACGTTATTTAGTGTTTGAACCAGCATATATATTAAAGGTAAGTCTCAGTTGTTATTGGTTTTAATGTATTTGATTAAATAAAAATACATGTAAAAATCTGTTGTTTTTGGGGATATTGGGGACGTCTTAGGTACAAATAACAACGAAAAAGGGGTCAATTGGGATGAGAATACGTGAAATGGAAACGACCTAAGTATAAATAGGTACAGGTTTGTAGGGTTGTCTATGTAGTTATAACAATATTTTTTAAATTTGTTGGTAAAAATTTGGTTTATTCGAAGCGAAATTGGGAATAAGTCTTTAGTTGAAATAGATAAGCAATTTAATATAAGTAAGTCGATTTTGCAGAGACATGTAACAAGATCAATGAAATCTCAAGGTGGACAAAAATGTCTAAGTAATACATAATAAAATATTTAATATTTGTTCAGAGTG